ATAAAGAATAATACGGTCCCAATAAATCTTACAGCTGAATTTGATCAGTTTATTAAAAGAGATGGCACTTGGGATCATTATGAAATGATGCAATGGCTTGATTACTCTACTGTGAGTCGAATTACTAACAGTAGCCCACCTAGTGAGATCAGAGGAAGAGTGAGTTTTGTGTGGAAACCATCCTCGAATGGTAACTTTAACATATCTTCTGCATATAATTTTACCTCTACAGGTACAGCAACAATGAAGGACAAAATCTGGACTAAACTTTAGAGGTGGAATATTCCAGAGAAGATCAAGACTTTCCTTTGGCTCTTGGGCAAAGACAGACTTCATATAGCAAGTTTGAGGGAGAAGATAAATATCACGGATGCTAATCAATGTCCCTTGGGATATGGGGAAGCAGAAACAGCCATGCACATTGTACGTGACTGTTGTATTGCTCAAGAATTGTGGAAACAAATTGTGAAAGCTGATCTCTGGATATAATTTTTAAATCTTGGATGATTAGAATAGATCAAATAGAACTCTACAAATAAAGCAAGCTCATACTCCAATTTGCACCTCTCATGGCCAGTATTATTCGCCTACATGTGTTGGAAACTTTAGGTTACACGATGTAAAAATGTCCTTGATGACCAGAGACAAATTATCCAACCTGACCCAAAGAAATGTCTGTTGAAAGCCTCCATTGATTCTCGATAGCTGGAAAAACTCAAAATAGATCGTTCTTTGTCTAATGGCACGGAGTCTTGTCACCCAACTTCACAAGGAGCTATAAGACTTGATGTTGATGGTTCTTGTCAAAATGAAGTAGCAACCTATGGAGGATGTATCTCAGATGACAATGGAGTTTGGGTTATGGGCTTCAATTCTAAGCTTGAGAATTATCCATCCACCATTGCTGAAGTTCTAGCAATTTCTGAAGGCCTTAATCTCTGTAAGATTAAGGGGTTGAAAAACATTGAAGTATACTTGGATAGTGTGGAAGAAATCAATCTCCTCACGAGAGGATACCATGAGGAGCACCCTTATAAGGACATCATTCAAAATGCTTGCAATCTCATTCATAGAGATTGGTCTATTTCTATTAATTTTGTTTCTAGGGATGTTGTAACATCTCAATTTAAATTTTAATAGTTAATTTTGGTTAATAGAAATTTTGAAAAATATTTAAAGGTAAGAAAATTAGTAAGAGATGATTATTAAATCTAACTTAGAATATAATTATAAATTAAAATAAAAAAATTTAAAAAAATAATTAAAAAATATTATTAAATTATTATTATTATAAAAAAAGAGAAAAGGCATGGAAAAACAAAACAAAACGAGAAGAACAAGAAGAATTTCGGCGTTTCCGCGTGCTATCATTACATATATATTATAATAATAATAAAAAGGTAGAGAGGAAAGAAGAAATAATAAAAAAAAGATGTGAGACCCACTGAATTTTTATAAAAACTCACTTGTTCCTTCATTTCTTCATTTATTCCTTCGTGCGCGCTGAGGTAAAGAGAACGTGAGTCGCAGGTGCGAAATATCTAAATTTTTAAGGTAAGAGTTTTTAATAGGATATTTAGGGTGTGATTTTAAGTTTTTCAAGATTAAGTAAGTGTTCTAAAAATTTTTCTTAGTCATCCTTCCTCTTTGGTTTATGATTTTGTAGTGGTAGAAAATTTAAGATTTGGAAGAGGGATGAATTTATGTTGAATGAATATGGTTTTTGAGGTCGTTAGTAGTATAATAAATATTCTAGAGTATAAATTTGTGGCTTATGGATCAAATTCTAGACTAGATCTGAAAATATATGTTGATTTATTGAGGTTTAGATGATTATTTGGAATGAAAAATAAATTATTATGGCTATAGGATTATGATTCTAAGCTAGAGACTCAATTTTTAATTTTTGAGTATTTTAGGTACGAATTTATGAAATAAAAAGAAAATTTTGATAATAAAAATTAGTTTAGAAGTTGATTTTTAGATTATTAATGTTTATTGATAATTAAAAGAGGAGTTAAAAATTTTACTTAATAGTATTAACTATAGATTTGTATTAAGATTGAGATTAGGAATTATGTTATATTTTTAATTCTATTATTAGAATTATTTTATTAGTTTCAAAAAAATTGAAACTAATATTTATAAATAATATGTTATTTGTAGATTGTATTACTGGTGAAGATTGTGGTGAGAGAGAAATTTTAAGGAATAATTTATTGAAAAAGCCACAAGGTAACCATGCTTTTAATTTGTGATTAATGTTACTTCATGTTAATTGGGTGATTATTGAGAAAATTATGAATTTTGTAATATTGTATAATTGTGCAATATTATTATGAATTTGTTTAATTATTATGGGAGGTGTTGGGAGACTTGCTATTATTGTTGTATTTATGTGCCATGTGGTACGCCCCTATTGGAGCTTAATAGGTGGCTTGTAAGGGCTCGGGCTAATCTACCTTTGGCCGGGTAATTTAGCACCGAATGAGGGCTACGGCTCGAGGTTAATGGAGGGATATAAGAATGATTGTTTGTGTGTATTGTAATATTTCTTATATTTGTTGAAATTATATTATTTTTAATTCTCACTTAGTAAGCACACACTTAACTGTTTGTATACACTATCATAAATTGAATTTGATTACTGGGACTTTTGAGTCTCATTATGTGGTTAACAATTTTCAGGAGAAGAGCCACGAGTGACACGTGGAGAAGTCCCAAGGCTTAGTGGTTTAGATCCACTGTCTCTTTTAGGTATTTGATTTATGATTTATAATGTATTATATTGCCAATATTAGGGCTTTTTATTTATTGTCAATTATATGAATATATAAATGTAATCATGCCTTTCAAACTATTTCTATTTTTGGTATACTTTGGATGACTGTAATTTTAATATTTGATTTACTTTGGGTTGGTTAAAATGGCATGATTATGAGACCAAATAACTGCTTGTATTGAAAATTGATAAATTATTTAGTTTACTTGTTGGGAGTATAAGGATGGACAAATGTGATTTAGTTTACTTGTTGGGAGTATAAGGATTGATAAATGTGATTTAGCCTAGTGGCATGTGGGAGGTAAAAATTTATTTGAAATGTTATATTATGTGAGTTGAAGCCAATTATAAAATATTTTATATTGAAATTATTATATAAAAATATGTTGGGTGGCTGTAACCCAACTATGGTTGAGTTAAATTATTTAAAAAAAATTTAGTGTGTTACAGATGTCATTAGTCATGCCCATTTTCTTGTTAGTGAAGCTCATTTTATGGAGAGTTCATTTTGTTTCTTTGATCATCCCCCACCTAATATTACTTTAGGAGGCGTATGATGATTAAGTTGACTCTCTTCGGTCTTGTATTTGCTTTGTTGTACTGTCTTATTTGCTGACTGTTTATGAATTTTAGTTTTCATTCAAAAAAAAAAAAGTCACCTTGGCCTCAACTAATTGTGGAAGTAAATATTTATTCACTTGCGAACTAATCAAATCTGACTATCACGTGTGAACTCGATATTAGATTTTTTATATTGAGTTTGTTTAAAGATAGTATACTCCACAAAAGTAACTTAAATCATTTAACTAGATACTTTTTAAATTTATATATTTATAATCTATTTTCTAATCCTTACATGTAGAGCTTCTTTTATGTTCTAATTTCATTAGAGTATTGTCGCCTATATTATTGCATGATGAGCAATACTAAAGAGAGATTTGGCAAATTGGTAAATTTTTTTTTTTTGGTCAAAATATTAAGTACTGATATGAAGGAAAAAGGCAGCCACTTAAGATATAGAAAAGGAGCTAATCCTTGCTGGTAAAAGAAACAGAGTGTTGCAGGTGACATTTAAAATAAGTTGGAAAAATATGAGAGTCGCCTCTAGTAGCCTTTTAAGAATGCAAATTGGTAATAAATTTAAAGTGCTTTAGTGATGAAGCAGAAGCAGAAGCAGAGCAGGATTCCAATGGCATGCTCACGCTCATCTATTACTTGGTTGGAGATACCCTTCCACCATTCTTATTGGTTCAAGCAAGCCTTGCGCCGCAAAAGAGACACGGGAAGTGACTCTATATTTAGTATTTATTACTCACTTTTCTTTGTTTTTTTTTTACTATTTTTTTGGGTGCTTCCAATCCATTACTTTCTTGCCTCGCCTTTTGCTACATGTACGTTGTAGTTTAAAATTTATATTTAAAAGAAAAGGTATATTTTATGTTTACAAGTTGGAATTGTTTTGAATTATGTAATATTTTCAATGTTTTCCAACGTTTAAAATTTTTATTTTTGTCCTATGAAACGTACAATCTCTTATGTTATTCGCACAATTTTTCCCTAATTCTTGTTTAAGAAATAATCCCACCCCACCACGGTGTTAGAACTTCATGGTTTCATCGAAGTTAAATAAACCACGAGGGAAAAAATTGGGATAGCTTTCATGTTTGGGATCGGATGTATGAAAGGGTTTAGCCACATTATTTTTAAATGCATCAAGAAATTGTTAAGACTTGATATACTTTTCGGTGTAAAGTCAGAATGGGAATAAAAAATGAGAAAAAAAATAAACATAGAATAGCTTTCCTGAAAAATTATTCCCCTGAACATGGTTAGAAAGTGTGCACAGCTAATTTGCAATATTCTGAATACATAAATTTAATGGTAAATAAGCAAATTTTTTTTAAAAAAAATTAGATTGAATAACACCATACACTCTGAACTCATTATTATTCAAACTATTTTTTAATTTTTAAAAATAATACAATCAAAATTCTCTATAAACAAAAGATCATTAATTGACTAAAAATTAAAAAAAAAAGATATTAAAATTACAGAAAATGATAAAAAAAATTAATTTTGTCATTTTTAAAGTCTTTTTCTATCATTTTTCAATCAATTAGTAGTCAAAATTAATTCTATTTTTTTACTCCTTTTCTGTCCTTAAAAAAAATCAAATTACACTATTTTCAAAAGTTAAAAGAATAATTTACATAACAAATGAATTTTAAATCTATAACATTACTGAACTTAAAGTTCAAGACAAAATTTGCTCACTTACCCTACATTCAACTTTTCGCCAAAATAAATACACAGCTTGTTTAATATGCTCAAAACTTAATACAGAATAGCTCACAGCAACAGGTACAGGTTTGCCCATTAAACTTGAGATTGCGAACAAAATTCCCCTAAAATTTATATAATCAAAAGGATGGTACATATTATGTTTTTGAATAATCACTGCTACAATCTCAAGCATGATAGCTAAATACAATCTAGTCAGCACAGCGACAATCAATGCCCTATCAACCAGAGATCATACAGTTCCACTTATGTATTGTACGTCTTTGAAGCCAACAGCATCGTCATCACCATCACTCTCTAACATTGCCGTATCAACCAGGGTCTGCGTGGCCCCCAAAAAAAAAAATTGTAAATATAAGCCCCCACTCACCAGCAGATCCATTTGGGACATTATGCAGGAAGGAGGAGGAGTTCAATGGCAAGTTAGCAACTAGATTTCTAGATGAAATAAGATCATTATAACATCAAAAATGAATTTAACAACATATGTTCACTGCAATTCAAGTCTTCAAGGTAAACAAGCAACGCAAAATAGGATATAATTTGCACAATTAAACCAACCTGAAGTTCTTTTTCACAGGTTTTTAGTCGCTCTGTATAATCTTTCACTTGCGTAAAACATTTGTGCAGCTGAAGATTTTCCCAAACCCAATGTCAGCATTCATGAATTAGACGTCAGAATGATAATTCAAAGCAGCTAATATTTAACTAATTTTACCTTGGTCAACTGCACGTGACGATATGAAGAATGTTTCTTTGCATTAATTAATGCATCCTCCAGTTTCTGCAGTAGTTCACATCTTCTAGGTCAGAAACATATTTTTTGTTCAAGCATGGGCAACCAGATATTGAAGAAATGTAATGCTTAAAAAAGGAGAAACGCACCCTAGAACGCTTTTGTAACTCCGGTACAAGTTGTCGTTTCTCTTGTAACTTCTCTTTCAACTGAGAGACCTGAAAAACCAGTAAATTTCAATCCCCCGAACTATTATCAACACAGCAGAAATAAAAATAACGAATGGAGGGCTAAATCATAACGCTAGACTTTTGTTTTAATCATCCAACTAACGACATCCTCAAAAGGCATCTAAGCAAGAATTAAAATTGTGGATTACTCTGATGAGAGAAAATGCTAATCCCTCAAAAAAAATACATTTGCTTTAATTGATTAAAACAAAACCATAGTTTGTCACACCATCGCAGGGGATGGGCAAGAACATATTTTTGATCATTTATTAAAAATTGACATGATATGTTCATTCAAATTATCACAAACCTCTTTTTTCAGTTGACCAAGCCTTTCAGTTGACCTCTCTAATTGATCTGCAATCTGGAATCCACATGTGAAATATAACAGAAATGTTCCACAATCAGTTTAAGCTTATCCATGAATTAAGAAACCTGCAAAAGGAATTTCCAAATGCTTACATTACCTCATCATTGCGGTTACCATTAGAGTCTGAAGAAAAATCCATGTTAGGTTGTTTTGTAATATTCAATCTGGCAGAGCAGACAGAAATTTGTCCGGTTAGGGGGGAAAACATAGACAAGGTATTCAAACTAAGCTATCTCTTACTAGATTCAACTAAGGAAGACTGGTTGCGGCTCAACTGATGACAGAACAAGGTGTTAAAGTTTGTGAAAACAACATCTCCAATACAGCCCTCCACTGATTACAAATTAAGCACCATAATTTTCCGCAAGATACCACCATGCCAATAATAAAAATGACCTCAGAATCAAAGGCACTTATACTGATCCAATATATTTTATACATGTTTCCAGAGAGAAATCATGCCATTACCTCATTGCTTATATATATAGTAATAAAAAAAAAATCCAACGGATATGTTTTAATGAAAATTCCAACAAAAATACACTTGTCACATTTGGACATAGCTCTCTTCACAATCTCAGACAGTATCAAGCATTAAAAGGTTCCTACCATAAATTTTCTCCATTTTCTTCTAGAACTGTCAACAATAGGAAGCAGTGAAGATGAGTTTTTATTCTTGTTTAGGAATTGGAAACAGTTAAAACATGTATCAGGCAAAGAGATTCAAGCACATTGACAATGTGTGTTCATTAAAGAAGGGGAGATGAACTGTTACTCTTGTTCAGGAATAGGAAACACTTAAAAGGTGTATCGAGCCAACAGATTTAAGTACATTGACAATGACAATGAATGTTCACACAAGAAGTGGTATGAAAGCAATGTCTAGATAATAACGCTTTCTCAACAAGAATATAATCCCTTCTAGTGGTTTTGAATTTGAATGCAGCAATAATAAATATACAAGACAGGCACATGCAAATGGGCATGCTACAAAGCAAAAAAAGGGAAGGAAGAAGAGCAAAGTTGAACTTACCCATTGTTTCTCCTTGAGTGTTCATTTCTTTCCCCATCAAAACTTCTGTCAGGATCATAAGTTCTGTCCATCTTCCTGTCCGTATCAAAATCCAGGTTATAGTCTCTATGTGTAGCTTGACCATGTACTTTGCTGTGTTCTTGTTCATCATCTGCCAGATGTCTCTCTTGACTTCGATCTTTGACATGCAAAGGTTCTCTTTCTTGATCATGATAATGTGTGTGGTCATATCTTCCATCCCCTTCATGCTCAAAGTCTCGAGACTGGTCACGCTCTCGAGACCTATCACGCTCGTGAGACCAACCACTATTCCGATCCCTGTGCCTGTCCCTGTCATGGTTATAATCTCGGTCTCGATCTCTACCACGATCCCAATCTCCATTCCTATCAGTATTATGATGAATAAGTTCTCTGCCAAAATTTGATCTTCCACCTCGAGTCCTCACCCCATTTACTTTAACCACACGCCCATCAATGGTCTGATTCAGAGCAATAGTACGTCAAAAGTATAAACATTTAAAAAAAAAAATCATAAGATATTGGCATTTCCTTTTGTTCAATAATACCTTCTAAGAACTCCACTTTAGAAACAAGAAAGGAGGGCAGCAAAGATGCTCAGAAACCATAAAGGTTCAAGCTTATGATTTATTCAATCATTCGTTGAATAAACAAAGAGAAAGAAAAATTAACAATTCCATACCCTGCCATTCATGTCATTGATTGCATCAACCGCTGATCGAGGATTTGTGAAAGTTACAAAACAATAGCACTTGCCCCTAGTCCGGATATCATTAATAATCTGCAAGTTGAACAGGAAAATGAAATCAATAATCCCAATCCACAAAACTTCCACGCGCATGAGCAGTAAATAACGCTACTAAGTAGCTAGATTATTATCTTTTCCATGTAACATAACAACCAACGACTAAAACATAAACAAACGAAATCGATGTCATAACTTGCCCGCCTGTAGCATCAGAGTCGAAACGAGGTAAACAACACAGCTCAGTTAATAAAAAAAAGCGAAATTGGCGGCGGCGTCCGCCTAAGAGGACTTAACCCCGAAACTAATATGCTGACCGAATCATATTGTTTTGCACAAGTACAGTCACCGTCTTGATAATACTGGAATCACAATGTTTTAAGCCGAACTATCCTGCGCAACTAATCTCAAAAGATAGCAACTCCAGACTACAACAACGGCTAGTAGAGTTCTATTAGCGAAAAACCTAATTGGTTTAAACCCGAAATACAAGAATGATAAAAGTTGGGGCGGCGAAGGAGCGGAAGAAGATAGAGAAGCGAGAGACCTTGACATCAAGAATGGCGCCATACAGATCAAAGACGGAGCGGATGGTATCTTCGGTGGCATCGTAGGGAAGACCTCCAACGTAAATGGAGCTCTCGTCGTCAATCGTCATTGTGCCCAGTCTTCGCCCTTGCTCTCTCACTCAGTCTTCCCACTCCTCGATTATTTCTTTCCCCTCTTCTTTTATTTTGGCCAAATTTCTTGCCCCTCTTCACGCCCGATTTTTTCCCACGGAAATAGATTTCGTCAAGAAAAATTAATCAATCCTAATTTTGTTTTATGATTTTTTTCAAATAAGCCCTCGTGCTTCGAAAATTTACAACAAATGCGATGTAGTCCTTGTTGTTCGCAAAATTAGTCCCCAAGAGTTGAATTTTTTTACAAAGCTATTAGCTATCAAACTATATTGGGGCGTATTTGTAGCATGACTTCTGCTAAATTAAGGTTTTATTGGAGGGTTTTGGAAGAAAGGAGATTATAATTACTTCGATTTTTCTTAAAAAATATGAGAAGTTGGGTTAGAAAAATTTAATCAATTTATTACAATTCCATAACTCCACTTATCAAATTTTTTTAAAAATAAAATTATTAGAAACTCCACTTTCTCCAAGACATTTCAAAACCAAATATGATGTCAGGGAATATCATTCTTAAATTATATATAAACAATTTAAATACAGAAAGTCTTACGAAATCAGGAAAATTACTATGTAATCCTGTATTCTCCACTGAAATTGCTAATTATTACTAGATAGTTGTTGGTTATTATTACTTAATTATTAACTACACAACTATTTAACAATGTATATCGGTAACCTTGAAATTATTTTTTTTTTAATTATAATGATCTATATTGATATACATAAGTTATTAAAAAGAGAGAATGGCAGATAAATCTTTTCAAAATAAAAAAATGACAATTTAATTCTGCAAAATGTAATAATAACAATGAAGTTTTAAGAAATTTGTTGAAGTTTAAATTTCTATGTGAAATTACTTTACCATCCCTTTATGATTTAAAAGGCTATCATTTTATAAATTATTTTAGTCATTGATAAAATTAAACTTGCAAATACTTCTACAAAGTTTCTAAATGATATAGAATTAGCTAGACTTTTTTTTTTTGGTACAAGAATTAGCTAGACTTTGCTAATAAAAAGTTGTGATTTTCTAAATTTGATTGATAAAACCAAACTTATGAATATTTATACCAAACTTCTAAATCATATAAAACCAGTCAAACGTTGCTAACTTAAAAACATTATTGATAGAAATTTGTGATTTTTTAAATTATTTTAGTCATTGGTGAAGCAATATTTGTATCGAATTTGTGAACCATATAAAATTAATTGCAAATGAGTACTAAAGTAATTTGAAGTAAAAATTTAATTTCAATAAAGTCCCTTAGGAATCACTATTTCACATATTGCATGTTTAAATTTTTATTTTTTTTTATTTTAAAGAGATTTATCTGTCATTCTTCCTATTTAAAATCATGTTATTTTTAAAGCTCTCAACCATATGATTTTTTGAGACTTTCAGCTTCCGGACTGGGCAGTAATAGTAACGTACTATGCCCAACATATTTTTGTTTCTTGGGTGTATAAATCAAGTTATATATATCATGTAATGATGATTAAACAAGAGGAAAGCGCTGAGGCCTTCCCCACGATCCGCGAAGTGCAAAACATAATGGTGGATCCAGCTAGCCCAATAGTATGGTCTACTTGGAACATTGTTCGGCCCATTTCTGCTTGTTGTTTTTGTTTCACAAATTGAATCTTACGTACCCTTCATTTACCAACCCTCTGATCCAGTCAAACAATAAATCATATTCCCAACAAGACGAGACTGTGTAATTTCTTGTCAGTACAGAATCTTAGTAGAATACGCAGCAACTGAGTGATTTGGTATTGAACAGATCAGAATCCAAGGAGTAGCATTGGTCTGTGATTGCCTTCTCTTTTACACTCTCCCACGCATGCAGTACTCATCAGCTGGTGCTTGTGTACGTACCAATGTTCCACAATATTGTTCCAAGGGCCAATTATATACATTCAGTTTCTTTCCTATATAATTCCTTTCGCTCAATGTTTTGGCTTAATCTCCGGCTGCTTCGTGTTTAAATCCATGCATGCCCCGCATGCCACAAGCAAGCTTGTCTGCTTTTGTCTTAGCCCCGGCTCTTTTTTTTTTTTTTAATATATATATTAAAGTGAACAATTTAATCAACGCAAAACAGTTTAGCTGGAAAAGCCAGCTGGCTTTTATGTATCTTCAAGATTTCTATGATTATAGCAAATCACGTCATCATCTTCAAGGATCGTTGCGTGTATAATTTGCAAATGCAAAAACACATGGTGGGAAATCAAGAAATTGAAGGAGGAATTACATACCACGTAGCACTTGGTTTAGTTGGGACTGGAGTCTCATCAATTTAATCAGAAATCTTGAGTTTTAATTTAAGAAAAGAAAACAAGAAGAAGAATGCAATAACATTTGTTGGTAGCTTCCATCTAAAATAGTCCTTCCTCATATCAATCCAAATTAATCAAAGCTGTTGGCCTCGGACATGATGATTTACTACCAAAAGAAACAACAAATAAAGGAGGGATGAATGAGGACAAGAAGCTAGAAGAAAAGAAGAGAAAAGAAAAGGTGCTTGAGAGGAATATTATTTTGTCTGGATGTATTGCAAAGTACAAACCCCATCCCCCTCATGCTTATGTCTTTTTCCTTTTCTTTTCTTTTCTTTTCTTTTCTGGATGGAAGTTTGAGAGCAATTTTGATACGTCAATATAAACGCTGGTGTGCAAATTGGTGGGGCTCCGCCTTTAAAACGTGATATTGCGTTTGTAGGGTGATCTTGCATTGAAAGTGCACATTAAATCCAAAGCTGCTGCCTTTTCAATTGTATTACTCCTTTTAATTCACGGTTTATCTACTGTTCACAGTCTTTTATTTTTTTTTAATAAAAGGCCATGGAAAGTAGTGTCTTAGGAGTGTTCGTGGCACCGGATAAAATCGAGCACTCGTGTTTCATATCCCATCTTAAAAAAAAGAATAGGACTAAAATTTGACCCCCTATACTGGCCTATTAGAATTGAGATGGAATTGAAATGAGATTGAGATGTCTTGTTGTCTCGATAAATTGGATAATATAAGAAAAAATTTTAAATAATAACATTCATTAAAATTTTAAATCACATGATTTATTGAGTTTAAAGTCAAAACAACATGAGTACATAAATCATAATATTTTAAAGTCAATTATTAAATTACATCAATCACAACTATAAGTGTATAACACATTATGATAGTAAATACAAGTGATTTCTAGGTTATAAGAGCAACAACAACAGATAAGTCAGTCGTAATATCAAGTCATTGTTCTTCTTCTTTAATTAAAATATGAAACTAAAACAACAAATACGATAGAAACAAAAGTTATTAAATGTATAAATATAAGAATAAATTATTTTAATATAATTAATATATTACAAAAATATATACTATCCTGTACTGCTTGCTCTATAAGTCTATATCATTAAAATTATTAATATAAAAAAATTTTAGTTTTTAAAAAATTGTATGTATTAAAATTATAATTGATATAATTAATATAAGTATAAGTTATATTAATATAATTAATATATTTAATATATATTTAAATATATATATATATATATTCGGGATGGGACAGGACATTTCAAGGGCAATCTTGTATCTCGCCCCATCCCAAATCTCTTTTCCATTTCGTCCCTCAAAGTTCTATCTCGATTGTTTTCAAGTCAAACGAGACTTTTTCTAATATGATCCGGATGAAGTCAAGCCAATCTGAACGGATATAAGTTGAACACTCCTACTATGCATGAAAAAAACAATTCAAGTTATATAAAAAACCATAGAGTTTCTGCATCCTAATGGAGTCATTATAGATCACAATATTAAAATTATCTCTAAATATTTGATGAACAATAAAATATGCACATTTATTTGATTATTTAAAAATATGATCAAATACGATTATTCAATCTCCCGTAATAAAATTCTTAATTTTGTTGATGATCTCAAGGAGGGAATGAACTTGGCAAAAATTATATTGGATGAGCAACAAAATTTTTAAAAAAATTAAAGTAAATGTGAATTTTAACGAGTTTGACATTCTATCAAAATTTAATTCCTTCTAAAATATTTAGAAATCCCCCGATTGTGTTGGGATCATATATGAGATATGTGAAAGAACTCGTGATTCAATTCCTTTAAGTTTTCATGTATGAAGCCTCCATAAGCAATGACTCCATTAATATTAGCTAAATCATCAATATTGAGGCCGCTTTTCACTCGTCCATTCTTAACTCAATTTGATTTTTTCAAGACTTCAAATTTTTTATTAGAAATTAAAATATCCCAGTTTGTGCGCTGGTAAAAGAAAAAAGAAAAAGAAAATCCCAGTTTGCGCTCTTCATTTGTCCTTCGTCTTGCTTTTTCAATGAAACATAAAAATAGCTTAATTTTACAAATCTCGGTGACCCTATTAATGTTGATACATCAATTAACGAAACACTGAATAACTAATTACCGTTCTGGCCAAAAATAACTAATTAACGGATAATATATATATATATATATATATATATAGCTTCAAATATTTAATAATGCCGAGAACACAATCAATCAATCAAGACATAACAGATGGTAATAATGTATATATAATTAACTGTTCTTTTAAGGATGAATATTCCAAACACAAGAATATCCATTGAGAAAAATAAGCTAGGAATCCCTTGGGTAATGATTACAGCCACCCTGTTCTTTGGATTTATGGCAAAAAGAATGTCGGTGAAAAAGGAAAATTATGAGATCAAAACTTGCAAAAAGTATTGATTTTCTTTTGATTTTACAGAATCTATAGCTTGAACAGCTGGTGAACAGGGAAAAAAAGAATAGTTTTAAAAGCACATATATAATCAATTAATCATGAGTGAATTGTATCGCTGATAATACAGGTTGAGATTGACTGATCACCTATTTAAATTCATTTTTTGGTTTGAACTTGAAAAATTAAGAAATTTTAGCGCATCCAGGCTTTTAAACCCAACTCGTCTGATCTCCATAAAAGCAAGTTCGGGTGGCTCATTTAGACCCCTTTTAACTTGCAAGAATAAAATATTTTCAGTTCTTAAATTAAATTTGGACCTTGTAATATATGTTAGAACATATATTACTTATTTTTAATTTTTGAACATATAATTTATAATTTAAAAATATTTAATATTATAATATAAAAATTGATTTTTTAAATTTGAAAAAATGATTAAATGATAATTGGACTTTAAACAACAGGCTCAAAGATGATTTGAATCCCAAACTCATGCTTAATACATTTTGAATCTCAAATAATTAAATTTAGGACAGTCTCAACCAACTTTTAATTCTAAAATAAGTGTGTATTTAATTTTTAGTTTATCAAAGGTTTATTTGATGAAAGATTCATTTGGTAAAAGTCAGTTGTTGTAACAAAATTTATATTTGATACATTTTTTTAAAAGTCAATTTGATATATCGAAAGTTGTTTTTTGGTTTGTGATAGTAAAATGTGATTTTGAATATATAATTACCAAAAATGACATTGATTTATGATGATTTATAATTTTTATAATACAAATGTAAGATATTTGAAATATTTAAAAATGTGACAAAGATTTAAATAACATAAAATTTGATTTATAATGCTAAAAATTTGATCTCTAATTATTTATATTTTTTTAATTTGTAATTTTAGAAAATGCAATAAAAATTTAAATTTTTATTATACATTGATGCTAGAAATTAACATGATTAATTATTTAATTTATAATGCTAAAAACTTGATGCATAAATAAGAATTATATTTTTAATGAATTAACTGTTTTTTAAATAAAAAATAAAAAATTAAATTTGAGATAGTATGGTTAAACAACATTTACTTTTTAAATTCACTTTTTAAAAATCTCAAATAGTTACATTTTAAAAATTTACGTTTAATTATTGTTTAAATATATTTTTAGGATATATTTTTTTGAAAAATATTTTATCAAAATAACTTTTAACATTTTAAAAATAAAATTTTACTTTTTAAACATAAATTATAAGAAATCCAAACCAACCATAACAACCATCTCTTTGAATGGTGGGCCCCATCATTCATCTATGAGAGGTTGCACACGCTTCTTGCATGTTCTCATGGGTTGTAAATATATCACACCCTAGGGGGAGGAGAACGCAGAGAGAGGGGAGAGACATCAGAGAGAATAAAAGTAAAAAATGATAAGCCCCACCATGCAAACAGATTAATGTTAGTTTGGAATTAATGATAGGATAACATCATCTTAAATTTAATTATTTAAAATTAAAATGTATTAAATATAAGTTTATAATTTAATTATTCTTAAACCTATAGTTTAAAATGCAAATTACTATTTAACCCATTAAAATTTAATTAAAAAAAATGCTTGCAAGTCCGGCCTTAAAGTTGATTGATAAAGATACAGAGCCGGGCCTACTTTTTTACCAGCTCTAAGTAAATGGTTTTGAAAAAAAAATCCCATCCTTTCTTTATATTCAGTCAAGAGGACAAACTAGAATTCAAACCTTGGGGCGATATTACACATATAAACAAATGTATGAATCTGCAAAAATAATCTCATAAATGCATAAAGTGTATTAATAATAATGTGGATCTTTGGTCCAAAACCCTTTCAAAATTATTTACCGCTTTTGAAGTGATAATCCGAATCTTTGTCTGCAAAGATGAGGCCAAACCCAATAATCATTTTTCACCTTTATGGCCATGCAAATGTATTGTGCATTGATTGAATATACTTGGTCTTTATTTCAATCATTTCACTTGGTGGGGTAACATAGTGTTTCGTGTGAGACATTCTCCGAGCAATCATTTCCCCGCTCGACTGGAACGCTTGGTTTTTTTTTTTTTTTTTGGCTGTCAAATTTTGGACTTTTATTGTCGTTGTTGATTCGTTATTTTTCATCATCAATTTCTCATTCGCCAGTAATAAAAGTATAGTGCATAATGTTCATTTTCTTTTTCTAAAGTGAAATGTGGACTTTTCCATCAAGTTCGCTTCAAGACAAAAGCGATTCAAATTTTTCAAGTCTTGAATATCTATCTCATGTCATGTATTGGATTTTTTTCGGGATATTTGGCGGTACTTTCATGTCGTGGGCTTCCACGGTTCCGCCTGAGTCGCCTAAGTTCAAAAGACTGAACGCATAATTCAAACGGTGGATAAAAGTGAATTTCTTATAATCGTGTTTTTAAGATTTTTTTTCCTGAATGCATAAATACATAAACGGAGAACATCAGGATGAACTGAGTTAGCAACATGGGACGTGCTTTTGGGCCAACAGTGCTATTGAACGTTTTAAAATTAGGATCAAACTTAATAAAGAATTAATGTAATATTAATAAAAGAAGTTTAACTTTCTATTATTTATTGCCTTTCTTCCTCTGCTACATTGTTTGGCAAGTTTGATATGCATCATTTATCAGAGTGCTTGGGCGAAACATTGCAATCCCTTAGTCGATAAAAAGTGCTCAATTATTTACTGGAAGTTTTGAGTTTGAGCTCTGGGTTGTCTTTGCTGTACTTTGTGATCATGCCATGCTCAGTCAAATTTAAGATATACTGGATATTTTAAGGAAAAAAAAACTACAATAGGGTGCTAAATCAAAAATAATTTTAAAATATCTATTATTTAATTGATAAGATACGAGAATGAAATATAAGAATAATAGAATCATTGATAGTGAAGATGTAGCAAAAATACACGAGGGAGAGATGAAGAGGTAGAAATTTCAAATGGCTTGGGTCCAAAGAGAATTTTAAATGGATTTAGATCAAATTTAAATTCATATACTTCTATATATTCAAATAAAAGATATGATTTATTATTTTTTGTTATAAAAAAAGAGACATAATTTAAATTCAAATTCAAATTTAAATTCCAGACACAGCATTAAAGAACTCTCAATAGTTTTGGTTGCTCTGAAAGCTTTATTATAAATTGTCACTTACTATGAGGGAGTCAATTAAAAACAAAAGCATTATTTTTATTAATCATGTAAAAAAATCTTGAGAGCACCAATGGAAACTGTACATAATTCTTTGGCATTAAAATTGAAATATTAACCAACGGAGTGAGCTGGTCAAGTCTAGCAAAAAAGTGTCAATCCCTCACAATATAAAAAACTAGGGTTTGAATGCGTGCAACAAGAGATGCTTAAATTTAATACATGATGCAATGCCTCGAATAGGATCATCATCAACAGGAGAACACCTGTGGGCAGCAAAAAATTGAGATATTAACTTATATGTCTTTGCATATTTTCAAATTTTTTGTATTGAAATATTTTAAAATAATTTTGAAACTGAGAATCTTTTAATACTGTATATACTTTTAACGATCATTTCAACTACAATTTTATTAAAAAAAAAAGCATGTAAGCATGTTTACTTATACAAGATACAAAGTCCTGTCCCGTATGTTTTTCAATAATTATGTTATTCTTAATAAAAATTTTCAGTTCATTGTATCATATACATTTATTTTACATTAAAAATTAACATATTATATTTAATTTTTTAGATTTAGATTCCTAATGTAGCTTAAATCTAATAACTCAATGAATATTTTAATTATAACTATTAGATGCCATCAATACTTAAAAAATGTTTTCTTTTAAAAATCCAAAACAATGTTCATATTAAAAAGCTCATCACGCATGTCCAATGTATCAAAAAGAAAAAACTCATCATGATATGCTGTTTTTTGAAAAAAAATTGAGATTAAATGTTTTTTAAAAATATTATATAACAATTTTTTTATAGATTTTTAATTAAATAGAATACTCTCTGTATTAAAAAATGTAAGATATTTTTTAAAGAGTTGAATGATAAAAATTGTAAGATATTTTAATCTTTTAATGTGTAATTATTGTCTTTTTTTAAAAGTACCTCGTTGATAATGACTTTATATTTATTATAAAATATTTAATAAAGATAAATATAAAAAATATAATTATTTTAAAAATAAATACTAATTTTATTAAAAGTAAAATTTAATTAAAAATATTTTATATTTTCATGAAGTAAATTTTAATCATATCATGTAAGACTCATTATATAAATGGATTTGCACCGAATGCAAGTAGTAAATAAAAAGGGAAAAAAAGGTGACAACTTTTAACAGTGAAAAGAAAGGAAAGAAATCATGGACGTAATCTTACAGGGCATGTGCTCCCTCTTGGTTTCTCCTTTATAAAAGCTGTGCCCACTCACTTCCCATCCCTCTATCCTCTCTTGCTTTCTCTCCGTCACACGCTCATCGGAATCTCAATCTCCGGTCAACTCGCCGTCGCACAAATCCTTCAATTATTTTCTCAAACAATCACTCCTTTATCATCCCATCGAAAAGCGCAGAAAGCAAGTAAAATGCACTGAACTTAAAGTTTTGCTGCAGCAGGCAGAGGGAGAGGGAGAGAGGACAGGCCAGCCTTCAGCTTCAGACATCACTTCTCTCTTTTGTATGGAATCTCACACCTTTGCATACTCTTCCATATCATAATATATTTATTTACTCTATGCATCCAAATGCTCCTTTCTGAGACCCAATTTTTTGTTGTTGATATATAATACTCGTTTTTGTGTTTGTGTTTTCTGGTTCCGAAAAGATAAAAAAGGCGTCTTTGAGTTTTCTTCCCTTTTAATATTCAAACGGTGGCATGCTCACCGCTACCTACCTTTCATGCTCCAAAAGCCTTTCATCTTCTCGTTTAAAGCTCCTTTCTCAAAGGCAGTGAAAGATAAACACTGTTTCTGTATGTGACTGAGTTTTTCTTTCATTTCATTCACAGCCCTATCAATCACACCCTAAAGAAAAAACAAATCAAAAGGGAGGCATATTCCCAGTCCAACCACAATCAAAGTTTCCTCCGGTCAGAGTTAGTAATGGCATATCCGTTTGTGTGAGACTGAGAACGTTCTGCACATCTAGGCAGAGGCTGAGACCAGGAACAATTTGTTTGAATTCCTCAGAGGTAATCCTTTTTTTTTTTTTGGAGTGTATCTTTATTCTTAAAGTCTTAAGTTGGAGGCTCACACGGACAACCATGGAAGATTATTGTCGATTCATGTCTGTCATGATCCTGATCACTTTGGATTTGCGTGTCCTTAAATGGGGCAGTTAGAGAAGTCGAAGCTTGAAAAAAGGTGTAGGGGCTATAATAGGGCGTGCATGTGATGGGGGCACTCTAGAGTTGAAAAGATACGCGGCAATAAGACACAATAAATGTAAAATGGAGGCTGCGGGGGGTAATGCTCGTGGCTTTCATGTCATCCATTAATGTATACTACTCTTGTACGCAGAGAAAGCAGAAGGGAGGAGGACTGGAGGAGGCTGAGTTGGCTCACATAACATTAAAAGCAGAGAGGTCATAGTTCGCTAGCTGCTCACAACACAGCAAAACACATAGCTAGCGTAAAGCACAAGGTTTGGTTTCAGCTGATCTGATATCTCTCGCATTACTGCTATACTAGCTAGTCGATCTTTGATTGTTTGTTTGCTTTGGCCTGTGGGTACGTAGTGGAAGTGTTAGACGCTCTGTGGGAAAATGCGAAGTTGTGTGCGTTTGTGTGTGTTGTGTGGAAGTGTCATTCAATGTGGTGATGCAGAAGCGCAGGAGGAGGCGTGAGAGTTTGCAGCAGCAGCCACCCTTTCTCTCTCACTCTGTCATCATTGCGATGTCTGGAAAGTGGAAACTCAGCTTTCTTTTGGTTTCGTCTTCGCCTTTTTCTTTTCTTCGTTTTATAACGCCATGCGTCAACATATCCACTTCCTCCTTCCGGTGGTCCGAAATATTTCATATATTTTTTTATAAGAAATATTTGATATTTTTTATGAGTTCTTAATCTAAGATATTTGGGGAAAATTAATAGTGTTGAATTCTTTTTTATAAATATTTTTAATTATATTATAGAAAGATTATATAAAAAAAATTAAAGGTGCTATATTTAAATTTTAATGGGAAGGTAATTTTAAAAAGTACAGAGTTATAATTTTTTATTACTTTAATGATACACATTTTTTAATATCTATAAAGTAATTAAAAATATTCTACTTGGCAAAAAAAAAATTGAAAATATTCTATATTTTGTGCTTAATTACGCAAAACAGCTTCTAAAATTTTGGGCTGTTTTGGAATACAATTTTTGGGCTTTCAAGCTTACTTTCCTTTCTGAGTTGGCACCTATATTTCAGCTTTTTTTAAAAAAAAATTGCAAAGTATAGGTGAATTAGATATCAAAAACTCACAAAATTACGACATATTTTTAAATTTAAAGAACGTTTATAAAAATATTAATAGATTGCCCACTAATAATTTTCTTCCATTGACACCAGGATTCAAATTCAAGATCTTGTAGATCATGAGTTAAATCTTCATTAATTAAATCAATCTTTTTTGTTATAAATTTCAGCTTATTTAACCTCTGCTCTCTTAACTATTTCTCTAATGCTACTGATCTTTAGGCTCTTTGATATCCATCCTTCATGTTATACGTGACTCGGGTGTAGGCGCACATCAATTCTTGGTTAATTATTATATAAACTAATAATTTTCATTTTAGTCAATTGAGCCGGTCCCTCGTCAAGGTTTTTGCCATCCATAAAGTTTGAACTTATTTAAAGAGCGTCGAGTCTCTTATTAATTAATCCAAATATCAGTTTAATAAATTAAACATTAGTAAGTTCATATTATCCAAATATGTCCGTGCTGTCTCGTAGTTAGGGGATTTGTATTTTGTCTGAAAGTGGGGGATTTGTATTTGCTGGGGGACGTTACGTTGTTGTGTACGTTGTGCAGATGATGTGGTGTTTACAAATTTCTGTATTGTTTATGTTTCTGGTTTTAAGATATGAACATATACTCCCTCGTTTTTATTATTTTCAAGGTGGAGAGAAAATTTTTTTACCACCCTATTATAATTGACATTATTAATTTTTTTTATCATATTTTTCCTTCGCCACCTTCCGTTAATGTTTTATGAGAAAAGAAATACTAGTATTTTGTTAAATAATATATATTTAATAAGGATAAAGATTTTTATACATAATTAATAATTTTTAAATTTTTTTATTTAAATAAAATATGTTAAAAATATTTATAAATAAGAATAATTATGCATGTGAAATTTAAAAACTGATTAAGTTTTAAAATTCGGGTTGTGATGATGGCATTTTGTTATTGGTAGTAATGCACTGGAATTCGTGGGTGCCCCTACACGGCCACACCCAACTCCTGCCATCGCCTCAGTCGTTGTGTGTGCCATTTAATTTGAAGCTTTTGATGGTCCAACTAAACATCGTCCCTCATTTCAGTTGTTCACTTTTAATGATTATTTTATAAAATTCATATATTTAATAGTAACTTAAAGAGTTTTAATTTAGATTATTTAAAAAATTACAATATTTATTTTTCATTAATATGCATGTTAAAAAATGAGTTGTAACCTTGTCATGTCGCAATAATTTTATTTTTCTTGGGTGATTTTCACGAAATCTTGGTAATTTTGGATGGTATGAAATTCAAGTTGATTGGTTGTCTGTTTTTTGGTCAAAGAAATTGAAGTTGCTTGGAATCCACATCAAATGAATAAAAAAAGTAATAAATGTAATAAATATTATATTTTGTCGTTTTGGAAGATGTTTATCTTCTCTTTTGAATTTGCTTTGCATAGAGTTTCGGGTCATATTAATTATTAATGGTTTATAAATATACAATTTTTTAAACATTACATATTACACATTAAACATTATCTACCGTAGTATTTGTGTTTCACGGTAGAGCTGTGGTTTAAAGAATCTTAGGGTGATGGTGATGAATCTCTGTAGGGTAGGCTTAGGATGTAGAGAGATAGAGAGCTGAAACGGGTAATCCAGACAACCTAATATTCGGATCATCACTAGACAGTGACATTTTGACCCGAGTTCTTTTTCCTCCTTTTTGGAGTTGAACTTTAAAAATCTTAAACCAAAATGATCCGTTCACTCATTCCAAAAACGAAAAAAGATCCCATTCACACTTCACAGGATAGTCCCTATCTGTTCTTTTGTGCTGCTCATTTCCTTCCGATTATCATATCTAGGCGCTAGCTTCCCTACGTGACTACGACCACCAGACATACCCAACTTTCAGAAAATGGGAAACAAAAGCGTCTTCCACCAAACTTCTCACCGAAAGCAATTTTTACAGCTAGCTTAGCTACTAGATACGACACTCATTTATGCACTATGCCTATCACATTAACCATAGTTGCAGCGTTCATTCACTCACTCACAGCCATGGCGGCAACATTAATACGCCAAATTAATGGATGTCTTTTTCACTTTCCTCTTTTACCATTCAGGTGGAACAATTTTACGGCACCGGTCTATCTAGTTGATCGCTTTTACAAGTTCTAGACTCTATTTTTGGTTCTTCATGTCAAACTATGAGATTTTCCCCTTGGGTTTTGGATAATGCTTGCTGAGTTTTACACACCCTGGACAAAGGGAAAACGTATGAATAAAGATGCGTATACGTATATATTATTTGATATCAATAAAGATATCCTTGTTTATATACAAATCCATGAAACGGATCGCGAGAACAATCCATTGAACGAGGCAATGAAAGGTACGCAGCATCTGATTGTTCTTCATGTCTCACTATGAACTGATGATCCCACAGTTGGTGTGTGTTGTTGCCATCACTTTAAGCATTTGTTGGCAAGTTCAACTATCTTCTTGGCCACCTCCAAGTGGGGCTTGTATGATCTGTATGTTTTTGTGTTTTATTACTTTTCTTTAATTGTTGGTCACGTTTGGAGATTTTAGCCATAGGTGCGCACGCACGTACAGGTGCAGCTGACAGTGGCAGGCATTATGGTAAGTTGATGCGTGAACAGTGGCATACAAAAGAAGAAAAGGTTCAAATTTTGTTTTGACTCGGGGCTCCATTTTGCTGATTCTGATCGAGTTTTTTTATGCCTCGTGCCTCTCTGCTGGACCTGTGTGTTGTCGTAGTGTAATAGTGCTTTTAGTTCTCGTTCTGTCACTTTAGTTCAACTTGGAAAGCAGTTAAAGCTCCCTTGTGCTTGCTGAAAAAAGCCCTTTTTTCTTTATCTTCATTCATTCACTCTCACACAACCTCCCCAGCTACCCTGCCCATTAACTTGGACTAGGGTAATTCCTCTCCTGCTTCTCCCCCCACTGGGACCACCCCAACCAGCTCACTAACTCCGTTCAATGGACCCAAATCTGCACCTTCGGGTCCTAACTGTGAACTGTGACTGTGAACCCCCAACTATATCACCCATGCCCTATCTCTGGGATTTGGGTAAGGAGTGCCACACCACACTCCCTAATCAATCTCTTATATACTGCTGTATTCAATGACGTTGACTTTAACTTTTTCCCCCCTTTCCTTGTCTAAGTATAACTAGAGTGAATATGTATGTAGCATGAAGTGTAGGAAATGAGTTATAGTGTAAATAGTTTTTTACAAGAAAAATTAGTCATTTGATTCTTATAGTTTTGACTTAATTGTCACTCAATTTCTGAATCTTAACTCGTTATAATTCAGTTCTTAAAGTTTTGATTCGGTTGTAAATCAGTCATTGAACTTTACTTTTTGTAACTTAGTCTTTGAACTTTCAACCTTTTAAATATTAATCCTTATATTTCAAAAAATAAAATTATAAATATTAAAAATGTTTTAAAATTTATTACCAATATTTTAAAGTATTAAACCCTTTTAATCTTTATAAATATTATAAATATTAAAAGTTTAAAATATTTTTAATTTTTATAATTTTATTTTTTAAAATATAAAAATCAATATTTAAGAGATTGGGATTTCAGGGATTAAATTACAAAAGGCAAAATTTAAGGACTGATTTGTAAGTGAGTTAAGATTTTAGGGATTGAGTTATAATGAGTTAAAATTGATGGATTTAATTATAAATGGGTCAAAATTATAAGGATCAAGTGATTAACTTTTCTTTTTTTATATTATGTACGGATGTGATGGTCCCATTTATTTTAGCTTATAAATCCATGACCATAGTTTCTTTTTGGTGTCAAGCTGCTTGCTTGACTTGAACTTGTTGTAGATGTGTGGGAGAAACTTATTCCCTAGCTTCCAAAATTTGCTCAAGATTCTACAAGCAAGAAAAATAGGGGGGAAAGTGGTGTTGACGACAAGAAAGCAAATTATATGAATGCAATTAGTTTTTAATGAAAAGAAGTTTGCTTCATGTTTTCATCACATAGGGAGTTTAACTTTAAAGGACAAAGATTAGGACCATTAGAATTTATCGGCCGTTTCTGTGGTTTAGTTTTGCATGTACATAAGCACGTCACCAAAGTTATTTTCACCCTGCATCACTTTTCAGAGAATATACAGCGCCTAGGAGAGGAGAAACGCTGTGATGATTTTACGTCGTGCCATCTTTTCTTTTCTCCTTTTACGCTCCTTTTCAGCTATAGCAGCCGTTACAATGCTTCCTGTCTTTCCCTATTCTTTGTACTTTCTATATACTCTCTCTTTATTTAATGCCCAACTTCATCAGATAAAGGGGTTCCAGTGAAAACGTGAACCTTATTTCTTAATCTCTTACTCTCCCTGATAAGCTACCCGATCGGGAAAACCATGTGAAAGTCTCTCTTTTCTGCAGAACTACCCTGTCAAAATGAAGGAGCCAGAAGAAGATCAAGTTAAATCCAGAAAACCTGTGCAGAAACACACGGATCGTAGAAGAAGAGGAAGGAGAAGAAGCCATTGCAAACCAGAGATATTAAAAGAAAAAGGGGTTGATTTAGAACTGAATCCTTCTTCTGCTTCTTGCAATAACCTTGAGTTCACCCATAGGCCTGGCTATGGCCAGCTGGGGACAAAGTGTGTGGTCAAAGCTAACCACTTTCTCGCAGATATATCAGCATCTGACTTGAGTCATTACAGTGTAAGTCGGGTCTACAGAACAAGTGAATTAATTAATAGAATTAAAGGCAATAGTTGACTTATACGTAATTGTTTTTCTTGTTTTGTGAAGGTTAAGATAACACCTGAAGTTACTTCTCGTAAAATTAGCAAAGCTATCATTGCTGAGTTGGTGAGACTTCATAGAAATACAGACTTGGGTATGAGGCTTCCCGTTTATGATGGAGGAAGGAATCTTTACACTGCTGGTTTGCTTCCTTTTACACAAACAGAATTTACCATAACATTGACCGAAGAAGATGAGGGTACTGGCAATACCTGGTAATGAACCATATCAACTCTCAAAGCAATTTCCCTTATTTGCGAGCTCATTCTCTGTACTCCATTGCCATTTCTATGTTCCCATGTAACCTCATTATTTTGCAGTGTAATTTAGTTTGAAATCACTATATGTAGTTGGGTCAGAATTTTGGGCATTAATTGCTCATTTATCAAGGTATATAATATATCCCTTACCTGCCACACTAAATTTTCTGATTTTTGCAACTGGTTAGGGAAAAAGAGTTTAGAGTGAGAATCAAGTTCGCAACTCGTGTTAGCTTGCATCAGTTACGGGAGCTTCTAAATGGGAAACAAGTGAAAACCCCACAAGAAGCACTTAACATCATTGATATTGTATTAAGAGAGCTTGCGGCTCAAAGGTGGTGCATTTTCTGATTTGCTTTCCCGCCCCCTTCAATTTCCCGCATTAATTGTCTTCTTTCACACGTACCAATCTTCTCTTCTTTTGTTGTTACATAATTTGCATGTGATGTGTAGCTACGTACCGGTTGGAAGGTTTCTCTATTCTGCCGATATAAAAAAACCACAACAGCTAGGTGGTGGTTTGGAATCATGGCGCGGTTTCTATCAAAGTATAAGGCCTACTCAGATGGGATTGTCGCTTAACATTGGTGAGAATTTCGCTATATCTTCAGCTTTTTCCTTATGTTAAGATTAAATACTTAGATCATATTGCCCATGGTAACAAGCTGTTTTTGTTCTCCTTCGACACTACATTCAGACATGTCATCAATGGCGTTTATTGAACCACTCCCTGTCATTGATTTTGTTGCTCAAATTCTGGGTAAAGATGTGCATTCAAAACCATTGTCAGATGCAGATCGTGTCAAGGTGTGAAACTTCTTTTCCTGTTGATGGAAATTCAGAGACCATTTCCCAACATTTGGGTAATAATTAACCAAAAAATCTTCTACATGTGGTCAAGCAGATTAAAAAAGCCTTAAGAGGTGTGAAAGTTGAAGTTACTCACAGGGGAAATGTTCGAAGGAAGTACAGGATATCAGGACTCACGTCACAGCCTACCAGAGAGCTTATGTAGGCATTTCTATTATTTTGTATTGCAAGTTGGACTTTTAATTAGAAGATATGAATTATTGTTTCTTTGTTCTAAACAGATTCCCTCTTGATGATCAAATGAACATGAAATCAGTAGTTGATTACTTCCGAGAGATGTACGGGTATACAATTAAGTATTCTCATCTACCATGCCTGCAAGTAGGGAACGAAAAGAAGGTCAATTATTTGCCAATGGAGGTAAGCTACTAGGACTTTATTTGAATTCTGTTCATAGCGCATTTTTCTTTATCAGGTTTTCCACAGGCAAGTCATGTGAGTCTTTGCCAGGCATGCAAGATTGTTGGGGGCCAGAGATATACAAAAGGGCTAAATGAGAAGCAAATAACTTCTCTGCTTAAAGTTTCATGTCAAAGACCCCGTGAACAAGAGCTAGACATTCTACAGGTCCTCATCATTTATCATAGGTTTCAACTCTTCTAGAAATGGGGGAAAATGAAGTTTATTTGGTTTCTTTGATTAATATAAAACATTTTCAATTTACATACAGACTGTTGAACAAAATGATTTTGAAAATAATCCCTACGCAAAGGAGTTTGGTATCAGCATAGACGACAAGCTTGCATCTGTTGAAGCTCGGGTTCTGCCTGCTCCATGGGTAATTGCTCATTGCTATATCCCTAATTACCTTTTGTTGTTCAATTTTGGAATTATCTTTTGCCTGTAGTTGAAATATCATGATACGGGAAGGGAGAGAGAGTACTTGCCACAAGTTGGTCAGTGGAATATGATGAACAAGGTGACCTCCGACATAAACATGTCATAATTCTCTTATTTTTTTCCCAAGATTCACTCGTTCCAAGCTTAGAATGATCCCAATGATTTATATGCAGAAAGTTATAAATGGAAGCATAGTGAGATATTGGGCATGTATCAATTTCTCACGTAGTGTTCAAGAAAGCACAGTTCGTGGTTTTTGCCAACAATTGGTTCAGATGTGCCAAATCTCAGGCATGGTAAAGATTTTTTTAATTGTCCACAAAGATTAATTATTGATCCTTGTGCACCCGTACCATACATAATGTGTTTGATCCTTCTTCAGGAATTCATTCAGGACCCAGTAATTCCAATATATGCAGCAAGACCAGATCAGGTCAAAAAGGCCTTGAAGTACGTACACTCTACTGCTTTGGACAAGCTTGTGGGAAAAGAGCTAGAGTTGCTTATTGCCATTCTTCCAGACAATAATGGCTCTCTTTACGGTATGATTCCAAGTCACTTAATCATGTCTGTTTGGCATTTGCATGGCCACCCCGTGATCATAGATAGAAAGCTATGGGGATGAAATTATGGAAGTGTTAGAAGGTTATAACGCCTCAAAGCTCCTCCATTTTCCTCTGACTGTTGCTATAGTTATTGAAATGGTGAAACCTATTGCAATTGCTTTCTCTCCTGAAATTACTTCCTCATCTCAATTATGGTGGAAAATGAAGCAGAACCCTGGTCTTGTTTAAGCACTTCATGTTTTGCTTTTTCTGTGGAGGAAATTTCTCTATATTTCTTTGCATGCATTAAAGGAAGCTTACTTTTTTATTCAGGTGATCTCAAAAGAATTTGTGAAACAGATCTGGGGTTGATTTCTCAGTGCTGCCTCACAAAACACGTCTTCAAGATTAATAGACAGTACTTAGCAAATGTGGCACTTAAAATCAATGTTAAGGTGTGTTATTTGTAATTGATCTACATATACACTCATTCTTCATTTTTGGTTCGTTCTCCAACTTCTTGACCGAATGCATCACATTTTTAGATGGGAGGAAGAAACACAGTACTCTTGGATGCATTGAGTTGGAGGATTCCATTGGTTAGTGACATTCCAACAATAATATTTGGAGCTGATGTAACTCATCCAGAATCTGGAGAGGATTCTTCTCCATCCATTGCTGCTGTGAGCTTTTGCAAACCACTATCTATATATCATGTGTGGCTTTTTGCATATATTCAATCCATATTTATCATTAATCACTGTACTTCAGGTTGTAGCCTCACAGGACTGGCCTGAAGTAACAAAGTATGCAGGACTTGTGTGTGCTCAGCCTCATCGTGAAGAACTCATTCAAGACCTTTTCAAGTGTTGGAAAGATCCTGAGCACGGCATAGTTTATGGCGGCATGATCAGGTATTTAAGTACAACTCTTATCCATCCTCATGATGTTTTTTGCGAAAGTTCAAGGATCATACTAATTTGTGGCTGTCGAACTACAGAGAGCTCTTACTCTCATTTAAGAAGGCAACTGGACAAAAACCATTGAGGATAATATTTTACAGGTAGGAATAATCTGTTTGGTTTTTTAACAATTAAGGAATATTTATTCTTGTAAAGGATTTTGTGGTTGACAATTCTACCAAACGCATTTACAGGGACGGGGTAAGTGAAGGACAATTCTACCAGGTTTTGTTGTACGAGCTTGATGCGATACGCAAGGTACTCTTGCACTTGAAGTCCTCACAGTTATTCTTAGAAATTAATATTGTTACAGTTTTTTTTTTTAAGTGTTTCATTATGATATTCTTCAATAGAGTAATACCATGTAGAGATTTTTAATATCCAACATCACGTTATTGACTTCAAAAAATTCCTCTAAAAGTCATAGTTTTGGTAAAGATCTTAATAGAAAAAAAACTAAATTCTCACCATATGTAGGCTTGTGCATCACTGGAACCTAGTTACCAGCCTCCAGTAACATTCGTTGTGGTTCAAAAGCGGCATCACACTAGACTCTTCTCAAGCAATCATGATGACAGAAATAGCACTGACAGGAGCGGCAACATCTTACCAGGTACACATTTTTGCCTCTGACAGATATGCTCAAGATTGTGGACTGGCGACCAATTTCAGGACATCTTATATGGTAGTCGATAATGATGATTCATATCTATTTCTCCTTTCTTCATCTACCTACTCTCTTCTCTTTAACAGATCAGCATCCATGAAAATTCCAAAGGACAGGAATAAGTGTCTAGAAAATGGTTTAAACTGAGATTTGGAAAGCAATTGGGCTGATATACGTTCTCATTTGTCTCTCTTCCTTAAAAAAAAAAAAAAAAACTTATGTTACCGTTTAAACTTACCTACTTGGTCAATGTAGGCACTGTGGTGGATTCTAAGATCTGTCATCCAACAGAATTTGATTTTTATTTATGCAGTCATGCAGGAATACAGGTATTAATAAGAGCTGCAAGAGATGTTATCAGATGAACCTCAATTTTCTGTTCTGTTTTGACAACATTTAAAAGAAAAGATGTAGATAAGCATATTTGTTATTGTTTACGTTATGATTGGCAAATTGCAGGGCACAAGTAGACCAGCTCACTATCATGTCCTCTGGGACGAGAACAAATTCACTGCAGATGAGATTCAATCTTTAACCAACAACTTATGCTACACGTAAATAAACATTTCTTCTTCTTCTTCCTACTCCATCAACTTGGAGTGCTTTATTCTTATAATGTCATAATTAGCCTGCTTAACTATTTAATCGCAGGTATGCAAGATGCACAAGATCTGTTTCAGTAGGTAATTCTTATGGCCTTCCTTGACATTATACTTGCATATTTTGGCATACATGAAGCTAGTAAGTACTAGGTGTATCAGAAATATGTTCACAAAACCATTCATCAACCTTCATTTAATACCTTAAACTTCTGAACAAATTGATGTTTGGTATGTCCTAAGGCAAGCTTCAAGTATAAAGAGCTTTCCTGTGAGTGAGTGTCGAAAGACATGAACAAAAATGATCAAAGCATTCATGATCAGTTAGATAATTCAAACACAAGAAAGAGAGTAAAAGTAGAATTTATCAGAACTTAATGGTGGCTTATTTGTGGGTACAGTGCCTCCAGCATACTATGCTCATCTGGCAGCTTACAGAGCTCGATTCTACATGGAACCTGATGTGCATGAGAATGCTAAAGCACGGAATGGAAGATCAAAGGACGGGTCGGTTCGGCCACTGCCAGCTCTGAAAGAGAAGGTGAAGAATGTAATGTTTTACTGTTGAAACCAGGGCAAGGCCAAACAAAGACTCTTCAAGTAGAGGATAGGTCTAGAGAGAGAGAATGGAGGTGAAATGAAATTGTTGTACATGTACAACCCTGTTCATATTGTAACTTATTTTTCCTGCATGCAAAAATTTTGACAGTTCTTTGACTGTTTGTTTCCTCAGTGCAATGCTTGGGCAAAATTTTGAAGTTCACTTTTGTGTCATGAATATTAATTCTGTCGGGTGTCTGTAATTTTTGTTATAACTTATAATATAAAGAATACTAAAGCATTATTTTTTTAAAGGTTAATATAACAACATTGGGGACAGTGGCTAGTTATCCTTTCATTTCTTACCTAAGATCGCTCACCTGTATAAGTAAAATTAAAGAATGAGGATTTGATTAAATTTTTGTTTTGAAGTACCATCCAATATTCGGGAAGATTTTTTTTTTTTGAAAGTTCTCTTATTAATTTTAATTTAACATATTGATAAGTAGTTCGTACTATCTTCCTAGCAATAATACGCTATATGTTTGTGTTTATACTTTGAGCAGTGGATCACAAAATTATTTGGATTTGACATAATTCCAATTTCCAGGTCAACGACTTTTTTTAAACAAAAAACATGAAATGGATTTTCGCCCCCCAACATGTTATATTTGCAATTTGGCCCTCATTCATCAATTCCTGGGTTTGTCACTGTCTATCTCTATCTCTATATCTCATTTTTTCTGATAAAGCCAACTCATGGAAAGAGTAAACAACGATCATACAGTTAAAATATTTTTTTTATCAAAATTTTTGAAATATTATATCACCATATACTAATGAAATTGTTACGTACCTTAGAAAGTCGAGTTTTTTAAATATAAATAAATGGGCATGATACGTGGCTATAACTTAGAAATCATCAATCTTTTGTCGCCACGTTTATCGTGGGAAGGCATCTTACGGTGTATTTGCCAGCTAAACAATAACATATATTACTTGGCCAAAAAAACCAATAATAAACTACACAAGCCAACATCATTGGTGGCGGTAATAAATATACCATTAATATCATAGTCAAGATAGCTTAAGATTTAATTACTCTCCAATCTCAAAATATAAGTATTTTAAGATTAATATATAAATTTAAAAAAATTACAATTAAAGTATATAAAAATTATTTTAACTGGTAAGAATTTAAGTCGTAATTCACAAAGTTGAATTCACATCCCACTATTTCTATAAGGGTTTTATTGTTGGGCAATCTTTCAATATCACAATTTAGCTATTTTCAAATGTCAATACTGCCCCTACATAATGTAAATTGTAAAGAACACTTCGTTTTGTGGCACCAATTGAGAATGACTGGTACTTGGCCTTCAACCCGCCAATATCTAATTCCCACTCCTCTACAAATCAATTTTAATAAATTATCTGTGAATTTTATTAAAAGTATAATCTTCAGATTTATATTCGAAATTCAAATTCCAATTTTATTAAACTAATGAAAGACATGTTTTTTAACAAAATATGTCAACTTGACAAGGATTCAGAATTTGTTAATGTAAGAACGTATTATATTTTAGATTCAACACTTTCAAGAATTTAATAGGGAAAAGTCAAGCAAATGGGCCAGCGTATGATTCAGTGTTCCAAGATGCATATATTTTTAGCGGAGTGTGAATGGGGCCGGATCAGTAAATCAATATTGATTCGCTTTCATAATGTTTCTTGGAAGAAAATTAAAGCTTAAAATATAGGGAAATGATTGAGGCAGAGAAATAAAGGGAGCTTGAGGCTAAAACATGGTAGCGTGAGGTGATTATTAATTAATTCACAATTAATCATTTAATTAACTCATGTTTCAGTAAACGTCTCACACCAACTCCCTAATATGATAAAAAGCATCAGCGATGTGGACCTCATGATGGAATTCAAATTTGGCCTAATCCAAATAATATGAAAATAAGGTAGTGAATAAAAGTTAGTTTAATTAGTAAACATTTAGCCATTAACCTAAAAGACTATAAGATCAAATCCTTTGCTGTTATAAGAATCTTTCGCAATCTGTAAGTACTTTTATAAGAATAAAAATATAAACATACCAACAAATAACCAAATAAGCATGAAATTTTGAATTTGAGCTTGTGTGAATGAAAAAAAAAAAAAAGAGAGAGAGAGAGAGAGAGAAACGCATTGTACTAAGTTTGAAAATCACTCTCACCATATGTGGATTGGATAAAGACATTCATGCTATGATTTTAAATGTTGGGTTACTGACTTAAATGCATTTCTGTTTTTCCTTTCAAAGTTATTTATTGAGACCATGTAATTCTTTAAAAAAAAAAAAAAAGAACCGGAAGCGTGAATGAAGGACCCACGCAGGAAAAAAATGAAGCAAGAACAAGAAGTCTCTGTGCTTTGAGTGGGTGGGGCTGACGACTTCATCAATCACTTGCTTTTTCCTATTTTTTCCTGACACCTTCACGTTATTGCACCCCAAACCCTTTGGCCTTCACCAATTCACATGCCATTCCTATTACAAGTCTGCCATTCCCCCCCCCCCCCGAAAAAAAAAAGAAAAAACAAGGCTTCTGATTGGGTATTCCATACACTTGTACACAGACATCACGGGCGACAACCAAGCCAAGCCGCACTATTCACAACCTCGGTAAAATGCACTTGCCTGCATTTCTAATGGAAGGAATCATGGCAGGGTAAGGCCGGAGGAGAAGCCGATTCCGGCCAAGTTACAGCCTTTCATCTTGCAGTCAGGCAGTGGAATCCATGACCAGAGATTGGTGTTGGAATCCAAGGAGATCCACATGATGTCCCAAACTCCTTCCCAATTCGTCACCAGAGATGCTCTGATCACTCCGTTCCTCTGCCCCAAGCAACCCATCATGACCCCATAGACCCTCTCTATCTTCTTCATCACCTCGCCCGGTGCCTTTGATATGAACTGCCATTCCCTCCCTGTTCTTCCCTTCACGCCCCACATCTCTATCCCCTTCATCACCCTCTTCCTCCCGTCTCTTCCTCCTCCTTCTGATTCCACGATCATCATGTACCCGTCACCGTACACGTGTAGTCTGTCTATCACGTTCCCCCAGCTGAACCCTACTCTCATCTCTCTGTCTCTCTCGCCCTCGCCTCCGCCTCTCTCCAATCTCGGCCGCACCACCACCGGCGACTCGCACGCTCCTGTGCACGCTACCAGCACGCTCTCTCTCCGACCGTTGATCACGTTCAGGAATATGCCTTTGTCGTCCTCTTCTTCCTGTCCTCTGTTTGTGTCCTCTGCTGCTTCTGTGGCTTTCCATGTGTCCGTGATGGAGCTGTACACGAAGACGACCGGGCGGTTCTCCACGAACTCCGCGAACATGAACCTGAAGTGGCTCGACCCGGGTGGGCCGGTCACCAGCTTCATGCCCGATCTCCTCCAGGAGGAGGTGCCGCGTGGGCCCAATGGGCTGGGAGGGATCTTCTTAACGGTCATGGTGACTAGATTAACCGCAATAACTTCCCTCACGGTGTTGGAGGCGAAGAGGAAGACGTTCCCCGAGGCAGTCAGGAAGTAGAGATCTTCGGAGTGGAGGCGGATGGGCTTCAGGAGCTCCGTGATCGGGATCCGGAACCATCGGTCGGAGCGGTCGGTGAAGCCGTGGAGGACGGCGTCGCGAAGCCACCGTTTCTTGTAGACGAAGAGCCAGGCCGTGGAGCTGGACCGCGAGTTACACTCGCGGACGAAGCTCTGGTCGGAGATGATATCGGAGAACGACTTGCTGACCAGCTTTAACCGGATGATTTCGGGTAAAACCAGAGAGAGAAAGATGTTCTGCATAAGCTCGGACGGTAGGAGGCAGAGGCCGATAGCATTTGGCGCTGAATTCTGATGATCCTCCATGAAAAGAGCGGTCAGGGGCCGACGAAGTCCCACAATTGCCTGTCACTGACAGTGTATGCGGGAAATTCTGGGAAGGGGTGGCTCAAAATGTTGCATATATAGTGGGAACCTGAAAGGGATGTTGAGATTGTGCGTCTCCTGAATTATTATGATTTGGAGAAGCAAAAAGACAACCTAAAAGAAGGAGCTGAAAACTAGGCAGAAAGGACAGTGACTCGGAAAGTTTTGGAAAGAGGATGATCCATCGTCATGGACGGTGTCATTGGCGGAGACATACAGAGTTATTTAAAGGCAAAAAATTTATAGTACAAAGATAAGGTTGGATTTTTGTAGTTGGCCAGATGTGGAGAGCAACTGAGAATGAATGATGATGATTTGAGAGGAACACGCAGGATGATGAATTAATTAACGTTGGGGTTATCGGCATTGCAAGATTGATTTGGGAGGGTGGGTAGGTGTAGCTAAGCAATTAGGAACTTGAAGCGGAGAAGGAGCAGGGCACTCCTCCACTTCCCAGTGTTTTCAAGTCAATCAAACAATTTCTTTTTCTTCAAGGCTCGCTCACTGTTTAATATATTAATGAATGGTCGTGAAAATTGTTAGGTGGAATAAGACATGAAATTTTAGGTAGACTTACCCACACTATACACTTCAATAGTAAACCCTACTTGCTATTTAATTGCCTTCTTACTATAGACACGATAAAGTTCTGGAGGATCCATATCCTCCATTCAATGCGGACATAGTTTCTCTCCACCATGTCTATACTAAAATTCTGAATCATTTAAATTAAATCATAATAGTACAAATTAATCTATGCTTTTAAGAACTATCAAATTCAATCTCATAGTTTAAAATTGCAATAGTTTCTCCACTTAGTGGAGAGACACTTCCCTGCAATGAATGCATTACTCAAACTCTTTTCCTTCTAATTAATGGTGGAATGATGACAACAGCAGCTTGCTGATTTGGAAAAGCAAAACTCCGAGGTGTAAAATTCTTAAGGTTAAATAGAGGATGTTTCACGCAGAAAAGAAGGGACGGTTTTGAAGACAATAAATGTATAATTACACTAATCATGGATTTAAGTATTTAACGCAGCTGTGTCCATCATTTTCAGTGATTTTTATGAAAGCAAACAAGGCATGGGACAGAATTAACCGGGCTCTGTTTGTATGCCAGACTGGAAAATGTGGTATTGACGTAAAAAGAATATGAAAATAGTACATGACTGCTTAGGAGGGGCGCTTGAATTTGCTTCTTCACTCAAGATTCAATTGCTGAAGAACAGCAGCATCACTTTTTCTAATCAATGTACTTGCCAAACCGTTTCTTCCAGAGTAAGTATTTTCCACTATAGTAGAATGTTAGAACTTATTATAAACCACGTCTACTGATATGGCTATGGGGTAAACACTAAATTCATAAGACCAATGAAGAGAACCGCCTTTAAATTAATAGGGACTTAAGACTTGGGCAAAACTTGAGGACACCCTTGGACAAAATACCTCGTATGTCATAATACTCCATAAAATGGCCATCAAACACACTTTGTTATCTCTTACCTTCAAGTCTGTCTCTCCCAACCAACCCCATACTTGATCAGCCTGAGAACCTATTGGCTACTCATCTTTTTATGTTTGTGAATGGGGCTATCAGGGTGTCACTGACATTGTGTTTTGATTACAACAAGAAGAAACAAGAAATCCTTATGTCTAACAGCTAGTTGTGAAACTCTCGACCGATGGCTTTATTGCTGCTGCTCAACAGCAAGTTCTGTCGCAATATCAAATAACAGTAACATACTAGCCAAAAAATAATATTAAGGTTAGAGTAAGTTAAATCAACCACTAAATGTTTAACATCAAATCAAACGTTGCCATATGACTGACTTGACAGATAACACAGCATACTTACAAGATAATGAACAAATTTGTGAGAGACTTGAGGCCAGTGCCCATGACAAATAATCCAATTTCAGACAATTTTTCCTAAGTAGCAATAGCAATAGAACCTAATATATCTACCACTCCCAACCATTACCCCTTGTCCTATTAGCATAACATCACGCAATATCATGTTCAGAGTGCCAATGGCCTTATCACCTAGTAGGAACGTAAGCTCCTCCATAAGTAAAAGGTAGCAGGTTTAATTCCACTTGTAACCTCAAAACCCTGGTACCTGTCCCTCTAATTCAAAAAACAAAAAACAAAAGAAAAGAAAAAAGAAAAGAAATCATGTTCAGAGTCAAAGATGCACAGGAGAAGACCACACAATTTCTTAAAGTTGGGGGCCTTGGAGTAACAAAGTCCACAGCTACTGATAAAAAAAATGATGGAAACCTTGTAATATATATTTTCAAACTGACTGACACATCCATATTACCTCATAACAAAGCCCACCTCAACCGCAATATTGTGCAGGATTATCACGAGGCAGCCCTCCCGCTGAGACATGGTGTTTGAAGATTAAAAATCAGGACAAAAAATGATACTTCATGTAGAAAATTTTGATCCACTGAAGATTAGGCTATCAAACAATCTCAGAGAGAGGGCAACACGTGAAAAACAAGGTATTATAATAGCAAAACATGACCCTACTGAAAATGATCTGACACAATGCATGAAAAATTTCTAGAATTGTTACTAGAGATAAGACGGCAAATATACTGCCAAAAAATGAAGTCCTGGCAAATCAAAGTACAAATGCTCATACAGATGCATGTTTACCATGCACGGCCTTTCGTTGATCCTGATCCACCAAATCATCATCATCATGATTATTTTCAATATCTGGCTGCTTAGACACTAGTGCATCACGCTGTGGTGGAGCTTTAGTAGATCGAGTAACTGACTGTTGATAAAGAATTCCCCCTGCAATGGTAAAAAGCAGACAAACCAAACCGATTGGGCTGGCATGCTTATCCCAAATAGTCACGTTAATGGCTACGGTAAGAAACTTATTGACCACTCCAGTGACGGTAAATGCTGTTGCGGAAACAGCTTTTCTAGCTGCAAAGCCAAAGAAACTGATGAGCAAGCCAAATACGCATGACAATGATACTGCAGCAAATGCTGGGGCTTCAAATAAATGGCCCGAGTTAGATCTCAAAGCAGCAAGAACTTCAACATTCTCTCCCGTCAGAAACCAAAATATTGGAGCCATCATCAGTGACAACAAGTTATTGTACAGAACGAATCCCCAAGTGTTCAATCCAAGATTCATCACCATATGTTTGATATACACCATCTCAGTAGTAATTGTTACCAAATAAGCAAACGCCCACGAATAAGCCATCAGCGAAAATGCAGAATCAGTGGCCACATACCCAACAGCTCCGCCCAGAATGATGACCAGCGACAAGAATGTGAGTTTTGAAGGGCACGGTTGCTTCCGAAAAGCAGTGTCGGCTACAGCAACCAGAAGGGGAGTCAAGGATCTAAACACTATGAAAGTGTCAACATTTGCGTGACGGAGAAGATTCGTATTGGTAAAGATTGCCAGATAAAATACGACAGCAGCTGGGAAAAATTTCTTGGCAGTTTCCAATGTGAAAGGATCATGATGTAAAAATCCCAACTTCCCCAAGACCCACACCCCAAGTGCGGAAGTCAGATACTGCAATGCAGTTAAAAGGCCAGGGTAATTGAACTGAGTAATAGCATACTTGTTTATGATGGCGAGCAAGCTGGAACAGAGTGCATACCCAACCACGAGACTGCTCGTGGTGTAGTACTGCTTGGTGGCGTCGAATCGAATCCCCGACATAGCGCTACTATTTCACCAAATTCACCTCCCAATGTGACAAAATCCCGAGGAAATCAGAGGTTAAGCAGTGTGAACAACTTAGAAATCAATTGAGAAGAGACACTGCAGGGCATCATCGCGATAGCTCGATTCTGGGAATTCGGGATAGAGGTCGATCTATCAGAAAAGGTCGAGGGTTGAGATGGGATGGGGCACAGAGGGAGCTTGGCTGAAAATAAGGGGAGGATTGAACCACCGACACAAAGATTAACGCAGATCTTGGCCAAAAAGAAGGATAGGGAGATATGAGAAAATCAGGAGCAGTGAATGAAATGAGATGAAACGGGGAGCAATCGGACGCACCGAAATAAAGAAAGAATTGAATGGGGAGAGAGAATGAGAGGAGCCAAGGCAATCGTTGGAGCCTTGAAGGTAAGGACCTAGGAAGCAGCGGCAGGAAAGAGAGAGCCAGGGGATACGTAGAAAAGGCGGGCGGGCAGTAATACGACATCGTATAGGAAATACTTGCTGTGGGGTAACGTGCATCCAGCGAAATCAGGCCCAGCCCATCATCGTAAACCACGTCTGCGCATAACCCAATTTCATTGTACTAAATGGGGCTGCTGTAAACGAGGAAGGGCAAGCTAGACGTGCACGTAAATTAGGGCGGAGAATTTTTGCCCAACTCCTCGGCTGCACTAATCTTAAAATATTATAAAATTCTTTACCAAAAGAAACATTATAAAATTTATTGAAAACAACCAGAGAGGTGCTTCCCCATCAAGACTTAGAACAAAATTACCTCTAATAATGAAAAAAATTGACAATTACTTTTAATCATCACACGTTTGGTTCAATTGGCAAGGAACTTGTACTAGATTGATCATGGTTTTGATTATTTCCTCTTTTTGGGAAGTGATCCTCATGGAAGCCCTGCATCTGTCGAGCCCGCGTTTCGGAGAAAGCCAGAGGTTGAAAGTGATTCTACGTTGCTAATGAAAGCCAGTAGCAAGGCAACGAAAGGACAAAGCAGGTCACATTCACAGTCACAGGCGAACGATTATTGATTTTTTTTTTTTGAAATAATTAGTTCATTTATTTTTTAAAAAAATAAATTATTAAGAAAGAAATAGATGTCATGCGTGAGGGGGTTTATAGGCTAGTGTTGTGATAAAATTAAAGTTGTTTCAAAAGCAGATTTTGAGTGAGTTAGATGGCAGTAAACGACTAAGAATATGAATGAGCAAGACAGGGGGGGTCCAGATATGACAGAGAGCCCAGAATTATTGATGAAGACATAAATTAAGCAACCTGCAGAGAAGGATCAGCTCAGAAAACACTGTAGCGAAGTCTGAAGAAAATATATCCAATCCTTTCTCTTCACATGGCCTGGCAATTAAAGTAGGTTCATGTTCATACACAATTGAATGCTCTGTGTGTATTTATTATCACTGGAATTGTACAAAAAATAACATAAGAATACTTCCTCACGGGAGTGACTAAATGAATAATATATTTGATTTAACTACACACAAAGGAATAGGGAAGTGATGTGCTTTAGAGCAAGGGGATAAAGGCTGTGCATTTATGATTGGGGATGTGGGTCTGCTGGTTACTGCATCAGTATGTGTGAGAACTGTGTAGTGAGAGACAGAGAGGGTGTGTTATATGTACAGACAGAGGGATCTTTTTTTGTTTGTGTATGGGGGGAGTACAGCAGAGGCATGTGGTAGCTCTAACTTGGACCAATCATATAAATTTTGGTGCCTGGAATCTGCATATGTACTATTGTCTACTACACACACACACACACACACACACACACACACACACACATCTATTTCTTGTTTGCTTCCCACGTCACAAACTATTCCCATCTAAATTCTAAATCATATTCACACAGTGCCTTTAGGTTTTCCCTAATTATATTCTCGAGTGTTGACTTCTTTCCCAGCGGACAGCCATATATAAAGCAAGCATGGTTTTTCATGTTGGAGACAACATCAAAAATATCTGTACCATTTGCTAGCTTCCTACATCAAATGCTATGATTTTATATTTACTCTCATCTGTCACTTGGCATCCTCATCGAATCTCTGAGTATTTAATTCTCAACACACACACACACACCCCACCCTGCACTGACAGTAATTTTAGCTTTCCCTGAAGCTCTTCAAAATTTCATAACCAATCACATTGAGGCTTTTTCCTCACCTTCCCTCTGCATTAACCCCGTGCCCAAACAGGACCTAAAATCATTACAAACCCATATACAATGAAAATCAATACTTGCTGGTGCTTTCAATAATTAACCTGGATTATCTGTATTTCCTATACTGCTAATTCTCTTCGAGCAGCCATTATTAGACATGATTATATACTTATAGTTGTGTAAAGGCTTGGCCCTGTGATGTCAATTCACGACATGTCAAGTGGAAGCACAGAACTACTGCAGGTGTGTGTGTGTGTGTGTTACATTTTGCTTTCGGCTAAATACTGTTATATCAATTCATTCTTATGTATATAGTGATTTTCTCTAAAGTGGTAAATACATAAAAAACAGTTAACTCACATGACTCGCGTAATCACTTTAATCTTTCAGAAAAATACCACATAAGGTGAATTTTTCTTTTGGTGTTCATCGAGCATTCTACTTTCTTTTTCTTATTTGGTTCACTTTAAATATAGCCACGTTTGGTTGTAATATAAGCAGCAAGCATAAATGACGTCTAAGCTATCAACGAAGAAGACATTCATCAACGTTCACAATGCGTTCTATTATTTATTTGTGATTACGCCATTACGCACGCCAGTACATATAAATACTAAGCTGCCAAACTGTTTCTATCTCTATGTAGGGCTATTAAACTAAGTAGCTACACCTAACCTTAAATATCGTTACATGTTCATATAACAGCAATATATTCTCATCGAGGGAAAACTAGCGAGAACTCATCAAGTGATCATCCTCTCTGCTCTAGGCTGCCGGAGCGTAGTCGTAGTCGCCGTCATCGTCGTCGTCATCTCCATCTCCTTCATACTTAGGTCTGAGTTGAGAAGCACATCGATCTTGCAGGTTATAATTACACAAAACAACATCGACATGCAGCTGCCAGCACTCGTCACTGAGAACGACCACCATTTCTGCACCAGCAAGCTAGAATGGTACTAGTTAGCTACAGCTATATACTAATGCACCGCATAAGATATATATGAGAGCTCAAAAGCTTGAGTGATCGGAATGGCAAAGGAAAAATGAAGTTATATATAGAGCGAGATCCAGACAAGGTTATCAGCCGGGGGAACAACCGGCACGTGGAAATATGTGCCCTAGCGATGAATGAGTGTGTCTGACTCGTGAGAATAAATCCTAGGTGGTATCCTAGTTGGCAAGATTGGAAGCACAAGACACGGAGAGACACAGACACGGTGATCTGATAAAGCCAGCAAATCGAATTTATGTAAAGGACATGCAGATACACTGATTCTCTCTGGTTCGTCAAGTTTGGGAACGTGTCTAGGAATGAGAGGCCTCGAGCTCCATCGAATGAAATGGCACTGGAGATATTTTGCATTTTTTAAAATATGAAGAGGGCATGTCTTGTTCTGTTGTGACTAGTGACTATTGTCCACAGAATTTTCTGAGAAAGTAATGAAATTACGGAGCAAGAATCTCAACTCAATGATCTCGCAAGCTAGCCCTAGGAGAATCTCCTCACTCGGAAGGGGAATATACACCCAAACTTGAGAGTGCCTTGGAAGCTTATCTATCTCTAGCGTAATATTTATGAATTAAAATTTTAAAAAAGATAACGAGTAAATAACGGAAATATGGCAACATTTTTTGCACATTCTAACTATGCTAAAGTGATACTGATACTGCACCATTATTTCCTGCAACAATTTTCACAGTGATGGAGTTGGATTTCTTCAACCCCACTTCTAACATCATATCTGTTTGCTTGCCCTCATTCCTCCAACGTGTCTTCCTTCTATTGTAAGTGATAATAAGTTTTGCATCAAAATGATAATTTTAGACTATATATAGATATATATTATTGGGAGGTCAAGTATGAGTTGACTTAGTATAGGAAAAAATTTAATTTCGGATAAAGTTAAATAAGAAAAAAGATAAATAAATGTAAAAGATATATAAACTTAATGCTTTAATTTTTTGAATTATAATATGATGTCATATTCCCTTATGTATATATACTCTTAGATATCATTGAGTCCAATCACGTTCTTCCTTGCAAGATGCTCCCCTATCGGCCAATTTTACCTATAATTAAGTTGGCAAAAATAATTTTACTCAAATCTAATTTTGGCTAACTCAAATCCAAACAGAATGTTAGCCAAAATTGAGCTTGACCACAAGAACGTTGCCCCTTTCTCAGACATAGTTTTGGCCTTTTGGGTTTAAACATGATTTAGCCCAAAAAAAAAATGTTGCTTGGTTTTAAAACTAAAAATTCTTACTTGTCGTTTTAGAACTTGTGGTGTTTGACCATTCTCAACAAAATCATGCCTGACCAAACGAACTATAGTTTCAAAAAAATTATCCCATTGAGAATAAAATAATCCATTTTCAACCTCTTCAGGTAATTGACTTATTGTTGGCCTGTTCACCCGTAACATCTTGTCTCCGAGGAGTCCACTAGCAAGACGTTTCCCCTTAATGACACGGGAATTCAATTACAATACACGATATCTAATGACTAATTTCTCGCTCAAGCCAGTGCACTGTTAACATGCAGTTGAAAATTCATAAATACAAGAGGGAAATAACATTATCCTCAGCTAACATAGTTGAGAGCCATGAGGTCAATTTATCCATGACAGAATCTGATCACAAATTGCATGGCTCTGCTGCTGATTCAGTAACATCCAACAAAGTCACAACTAGTACAAGACAAAAAATAATTCCATCACGCATCTATTATCTATTAGTAACCTACTCCTTGGAAGATTTGTTGATCAGAGATTTGTGGATATGAGGAATCACACCTCCCCCAGCAATGGTTCCTTTTATCAGGGTATCGAGCTCTTCATCACCCCGGATTGCTAGCTGTAAATGCCTGGGAGTTATACGTTTAACCTTGAGATCCTTGCTTGCATTCCCCGCCAACTCCAATACTTCAGCAGTTAGATATTCCAAAATAGCGGCAGAGTAGACAGCAGCTGTTGCTCCCACTCTACCATGTGCTGTGGTTCTGGACTTCAACAGCCGATGAATCCGGCCAACTGGGAACTGCAGATCATATGCAATAGCATAGAAGTATCATAAGAAAACTGATCCAATTCAGTTAAAAAACTTGACTCAATCAACACTAATGAAAGGAGCTCTATTGGTTTAAAGGTTCTTCACTCATCACAGAAATACACGCCCTTCTCTAATCCCTTTATACGGTTTATTAAGCACAGTAGCACTGAAGTTGCATTAGCCAGTACGCCTTCAGGAAAGAATACCATTACAATAAAAACATACACTCCATCAAAATGTGGAGAGTTGGCATTATATAAAGCAAAGCTATCAGAAAGAATTGAAAACTTTTGATGAGGTTATAAATTTCAATAAACTATCTAAATCAACTACTTACTACCTAATAAGAATGGTGGGGTTCGTTCGTCTAGGTAATGGCCCATAAAAATTCAACTAATCAGAACTTACAAATGGAGAATAGTCCTTTGTATACACACTCAGTTAGTCAAAAGGGAGGCAACATAAAGGGTCGCAGAAAATTATCAATAGTCAATATTCACGGCAACTTGCTGCCATCAGCTAGCAAGAAATGACCAAACCGAATGAGCTTCACAGACCGGGGCCTTCAATAATATGAAATGCAAAAGAGCCAACTATCTAGTTATGGTTAACGTCACAAGCAAACAACAAAAACGTTCTGTTTCATATCACTGTCAAGCTAAATTTCCTAAGATATATATATATATATATATTTTCCTGGGAACTTTCCTAATCCTAAGAACAAACGAACGCAGGCATTAAAAAAAAAGGAGAAAGGTAAACAATGTAAACAACTCGTGAATCTAAGTTAGATGAGTCTTGCAATGTTATGCTTTCCTAAGAATGCACACTCACAAACGATAAAAAGTTAGGGAAATAAGAAACAGAATGTATAACTCATATGTCTAAGCTGCATAACAGTTGATGGATTAACCTAAATAAGCATACAAATAAAACATTTCAAATGTACGCTATAGCTAATAGCAACTGTTTATGAAAAATCACCCTTCAAGTTCAAGAGTTCACTTGTCGAACTAGTGCCCTGTTCAAATTGTACGCAAGAACTAGATTTAAAAAAAAAAAAAGGCTAGCCTATTTTTTTGCCGTGCCAGAATTTAGCGGCACTCTCACGGAATAACGCAAACATACGAGCAGGACCCATAAATTTTCAGAATAAATAAGTCTCATATTTTCCCGTGAGGGAAAATGTGCAGATTGCAGACACATAACAGAACACATCAACTCAAGGAAGTCAAAATAGAGAAAGGAATAGCAAAGAGACAGAGATCTAAACAAAAAAGAGAGCGACCTGAAGTCCGGCACGAGAAGAGCGAGAAGTGGGCTTCTTCTTGTCCTTGTCTTTGTTGGCAGCGGCGGCCGAGGTCTTGCCGGTGATCAAACCCTTCGCGCCCTTCCCCGACATCTTGTCCCGCCAAAAGAAAAAGGGCTAGAGAGAAGTCCGATTTTAGAGAGAGAGAGAGAGAGAGAGAGAGAGACTGCAGCCGCTGGTCTCGAGTCTCAACTTTCAAGTTTGGAGCTCAGTTGAAGAACGTACGGGAAGGATTTGGCATGAGAAGAAAAACCCAATTTATAGAGCCCCTCTTCATTGACCCTTTTACTTTGTGCATATCACACACGAAGCTCTCCTTTTCAGTTTTCACTGTTTTTTCAATTTTTACCCCAACCATTTTAGCCCCCGCTTCACTTCACAGTTTGCACGCCAAGAAACATCAAGTTAAACTTTTTTCTTTAGGCAATATCTAAAATAATATTGACTTATATATATGAATGTTTGACTCAGTTTAACGTTTACGTTGCAATATATATTTTTTTCATTTTAAAAACATTAGTATAAAAAATTAACTAAAATTTAATGCTATCAATTTAGTCTAAATTTAATGAAGCATATTGTTAGGTTTCAAAATTCTTTTTTTGGGGGCCCAAAGTTATGTTCCAAAATTTAAATCTCAATTTTATCATTAAATATTAAATATACATATTTCAATAATATATTTTTTCTGATCAAAATTTAATAGAAAGTGAAATGAAAAATTTGTGATAAAACTTTAATAATATAATTTATAAATCCCCGACTTATACATAATAAAGTAATTAGTTAGGCGATAAATCAAAAAGAGATAACAAAAGAGTGAGAGTCACGCATGTGAAATATAATTCTAATTTAAAATTAAGTCGATCTGCTCCTGCCTCCTGGCCACCTAGATTTTATGAATATTTTTCTTTTTTTCATCAATACCATTATAACTCAAGGCCTATCAAGCCTCAGTAATGGCAGGACGGAGACCCAAACTAGAGTTTCCAGTGAAAATCAACAAAAGCATCAGTTATAGTTTTACCAAGAAAGAGGGGAAAAGCATCTGTCGTGAAGTGAAGATAGATTTTTAAGCAAAGGGTAAAATATCATATTAGCTGAGAACTTGCACCTTAAGGAATGCCAATGCTGTAAAATTCGAGACAAGGATTTCACTTCAAAAAAGAAAGAAGGAATCAAAAGAAAATCGAGACAAGATCAAAACAGCTGGGTGAACTGACTTGACTTGGGGGAAAAATGATGTTATCTTGTCATTCACAAATTTAAACATAGATTTGCGGATGATAGAACAAACAATCAACAAAGGGCGAAAAAAACTGGATTCGAGCATGAAAGTTGAACTGTATCTGCAGAATTCTGCATATCGCATCTCCGACTCAGAAATACTGATTTGGCCGCATTAAATGACTCAAGCACTATCATGTTATTAATTTTTACTAGGTTACTACGCCACAACACCCCCCCCCCACACCGAAAAGCCAAAAAAGAAGGGTTCATCTAAATAAACACCAAGCATATTACAAAGTACAAACTGGATAGAAAAAGGTCGCTTGATTCATTAAATGACCAAAGTAAACAAAAATTTACAAAATTTAGCTCACGAAACCTGTTATGTAGGTACTTGTCTATGGCATGATAACCCTGCCGTTCCAAACGACCATCCTTACCAGGATCGCTATTCCTCCACCGCCTGTTCCTTTTCTTTGGATTTCTCCTCATCTGCAATATGAAAACCCTCAATCTTGCGTGAAACCTCGTCTGCATTAACCTTCACCTTCGCAACTGATCCATTTGCTGATATAGAGTCCGACCCATCAAAGGTCAAAGGCCCAGTTTGCCATATTCTGATGGTTCCATCCTCAGATCCTGAGGCATATGATTCTCCCCCAGGAGAGAAACGGAGGCAGTGAACAGGACCATGGTGGCCCTTGTTGCATGCTGTCATCGAGATAGATTGTCAAAATAATTATACATAAATCACATCAGTTATAGAATAAACTGAAATATCAATCCATCTAAGCATATTGGAAAACACAAGTCAGAAATGTGAAATAGACAAAAGGTTCAAGCACCGCAAGCATCAGCCTGCATATTAGGTAGTGAAAAATAGTTCATTACTTACCAATCTCATGGCCAGTATGGAAATCAAAAACACGAACCCACATGTCTTCTCCCCCAGCAACAAATTTATTACCATACTTAGGTTCCAAAGAAGCTGATTCAATGGTGCAAGGCATATCATAACTCTTAACCAAGCCATAGCTGAAAGACAACAGTAACATCCTAAACATGAGATAAAGAATACTTTGACCAAATTGACTAGTTTGGCTTAATACTTACTAATTCGCGTCCCAAAATTTAACAGTAGAACCATCTGCAGTTACGATGTAGCGCCCATCCTGACTCACTTCAGCACTGGTCACAGATGACTTGGTCTCAAGTGTCTGGACTATTTGGCCACTTCTTATATCCCATAACCTTTGAATTGTTGACTAAAATCAGTGCAATATAGCATTTAATGTTGAAATCAAAATTTAGAAATTGCAACAAGAAACAAATAAAATCCAAGAGAAGCTTCAACATCACATGATTAACTGAGGCACATACCTGACACCTCCCATATCAGTACAAGAACTTAATATTGTCTGGTCACTATGAAGCCATGTAACAGTTCTGATCGAACCAGGGGACTTATCAACTTCTCTCGGTGATGCATCAGGACGATTCAAGTCATAGATTCGGAGAATTTTCTCTACTCCCCCAGTGAGTAAAAGATGTGTATCCTGCTCCCAGGTATAAAATAGTAATGCAAGTGAACAACGAAGCATTTGTAGTCTAGGTCCCAACAGATAACAACTGTTGATGGCATCAATTAATTTCCAGAGTCTACTTTTCAGATAGAACAAATTCAAGAGTATTAAACAAAAAGTAACCACTAAACATCTATTGTCAAGAAGGCCAATGGTGTGTAGGGAGAAGTCAGGAAAAGAAAGAGGGGAGCAAGGGAGAACTTCTAAAATTAAGCATTAAGAATTCCTAATAAAGACCTTGAGCTTCTGAACCATTGTAACTTGCATATCATTTTTCCATCCACAGAAACAACCAACAGTCATCATAGACAAAGAAAAATCAGCAACTATAATAGTAATGATTTCACCCAAAAAATCATTATAAAGAATCCAATCTACCTCAGAAAAAGCACATGCACGAACAATGTGCTTGTGTTCAAACGAGTGTAATTCATCTCCTGTTAATGCATCCCAAACTTTCCTGCACAGGAGAACAAAAACATGATCCAGCAACCTCAGATTGATGAACATCTTCTACCATTGGTAACACGGCTCACTGCATTTATAGCTCAAAGCCTAGAACTAAGAGTGTTAAAAACAAAAGGAAAAGAGAATTTTTTTTGTGGGGCATCAAAAGAGAAAACTTGATTCAGCCAAATACTGCTCCCATTCTACTAAAAGACAAGCAAATATAAAGAAACCAGTTTTCAACTTTAAAATTTTGAAATTGAAAAAAATTAGGCAAGGAAAACTTGAGATGCTAACAACTCTGATAAGATGATGGATTGATTCAGCACAGTGGACAACTAGCCAACAACAGGGCGCACTAGTGATATCATCATATGCTGAAAAAATTAACTAAACCTTTTCAGATGCATTCCACACGAGCTGAATCCATTAATATCAATGAAAGAATCTAGTTAAGGCAGATGATCTAATCCCAATGAACTAACAAGACAATTCGCGTTACCAAAAATGCATAGGACAGTGAGCTTCGTACTGAGCAAGCAAAAATTGATGAAGCAATTACATACGATGAAAAGTCAGCAGAGGCAGTTGCAGCACGTAAAGCATTTGTATCCAAGCAGCAACTCCATACCGCACCTTTGTGCCCTTCAAATGTTCCAATCCAGTCTCCAGTCTCACCATTTCTAAGCATAGGACTAGAATCTAAACACCACAAGAAAAGCTCAATTGTCACCTTAGTGGAAATATTTTTCAAGGAAAAAAAAAAAATCAATGAACAATGTTGCAACTTCGATACATTAGTGCTGAAATGCCAACACCCTATGCGGGTTTTAATTTGAGTATCAGCAACTCAAGAAAGCATCCTAATTACTGATCCACTAACATCAGCTTTTCAGTTTCGGAATTATAAGCGATAAAATATTGACCCGTTGAAGTCTGAGTGAGGCCACGGAATAAAACAGAAAATGAGTCAGATGCATCAAATTATGCACAATCAAAGGGAAAATAACAGTCAAAACCAGTTTCGCCTTTCCATTGCAGGCAAAACAAGTGCAGCCGACAAGCATAAGTTCAAAAACTGAATTTCGAAGCCAAAAAGATAAGGCCAGGGCTGAAGACATCATACCCTTGCTTGCACTGATGAGGAAGAATCCATCGGGCGTAACAGGACTGTAAAAGAGATCCACTACAGGACGGGAATGGCCGTGGCAAACAAGCGGAACCGCCACCTTTTTCTTATCCATTCTTGAAGAAGATAATCCAGTAAATTCAAGCCTAGTTTATGTGTAAAATAAGCTAACAATGAGAAGATTCTTTTTTCTCCTCCCTATATATACTGTTCTTTCTTTCTTTCCTTATTGTGATTTTTTTTTTCTTATCCGAAGTGTGAGTTGCAAATAAACCCTAAATATATGAGAACTATTAGAAATCGCAACCAAAAGAAGATTCAGAAGAAATAGTCACTAGCAAAAATGAGAAATAAAGCCCTCGGTGAGGGATTAAAACGAAAGTGCGATCTCAATCATGCGAAGATTAAGAAGAAATGGCGGTATTAAAAACACAGGTGGGAAACGCTGATTCACTGAAACTGGGAACCGAAAAAGGATAATATACATGAATCCACACCTCCTAACCCTCTAAAAAAGCTCTGAGAAATTGAGATCTAAGGGAGATGGAGACTAAGAAGAAACCAAACGTAAAGAAAAACTACAAATGAAAAACGAAGATGGAGAAGGGAACAGAGAAGATGGGAACAGAGCAGGTAAAGGCAAGGGCTAGGCGCGAGGAAGTGATGGTTTGGGATGTGCTCTTTTATACGGTGATTTCTAGTCGGGGGTCGGACCCCAATGGCAAGGAATCGTACGATGTCGTACGAGCAGAGCAAGTGAATATATAATATAATGGAGATGTCTTGTGCATACATCATAACCCTCAGGCAAGATTAATTTTAAACAAACTCCTTAAAATTCCAAAATTTAACTACACATGTAAGAGACTTGAGTGAAATTAAAGAGCTAGCTGAAATTATTTTATTATCTCCAGTGAAGCTAGATGTATAAATAGCTTGTATAAGAAAATTAATAACTAATATATTAAAAATAAACAATTAACATAAGTAAAATTTACAATTTTCATTGATAATATAACACCATTATGAATATGAAAACGTGAAACTAGGAGGATGAACAACTCATGTGGGAGAACAAACAATTAATGTATAGAAAATAAACAACTAACATATGTGAAATAAGAGTTGCAAATTCATGATTGTGTTACATTATTAACGAGGGTTGTGAATTCTAGCTATGTCAGTTGTTTATTTTTCATACATTAGTTGATAATTTTTCTATATAAGCTATTTATGCGCATTATTTCATCAAAGATAATAAGGTCATTTCAATCAAATTTTAAAAGTTTTAATTGAAATTAAGTTGGATCAAGGGATCCTCATTGAAATTTTCCTTATATTGTATCCTTGAATTGCTTAACCAACTTAACATCCATTTCGTGAATTGTTAATGTGTTAATGTAATGCCAGTAGAAACATGGATGTTGCATCTAGCAAAAAGGGCTTATTTCTCACAGTGTAACGAACAAAGTTCAAATCCCCATTAAAAAAGGTGCCCGTATTTAATGATTGATTATGCCCCTGAATATAGCTATTTCTAATATGAAGATACTTGTAAGTAATAAAAAAAATATGATACTAATAAAGTTGAGTCTAGTGAAAAGAGTTAGTCTTTCACAGTGTGGCAAATTCGAATCCCACCTAAGAAATGTGCCCACATTTAACACCCAACAATGTATTAAATAAAATTGCCTCTAATGAAAGAATATTTGTAAGCAATAAAAAATGCATTAATATCATCGAACCCTTTATTTTTAATACTGTCTGTTGAAAAAAAAAAGAGATCTACCATTTGCCCTTGATATCTCATGTCAAATAACTTCTATGATGTAAAATCTATTTCTTCTACTTATAAAAAAAATATTTATCAAGCCCAGTCTTTTGTTCTATTTTTGCTTTTAATATTTATGTATTGCTATCATTAGCAAGTTCTAAATCTTATACATTTCATCACAACCATTACATTTTCACACCAAAGGTTAATTAGAGGACTATTCACAATCATAAGGCCTTGTTTAGTATGAAGGTGTGAATTTTAAAAGATCAGGATTAGGATTGATAATGAGATTGAAATTGGGATTGAAGCTTTAAAAGTATGTTTAATATGAAGTAATATTTAGATAGAATACTTGCCATAATTTTATTTTATAATCCATCAACAGCTATCAAAAGACCATGATGACCCTTATCAGTAGCCAAAAAATAGTCTCAACCTCCAATCCGGTGAGCTTCATCTTGAACCTTATCTCAAACTTGAGTCCACCTCAATCTCTAATTGGATGTGAAAACATGTGAAGGCAAGTAGATTCAAACTCAAACTAGTGTAGTAGAAATAGCAACAAGATCAACTTGCAATAGAGATGAAAAATACACAAATTTGAACTTAAACACAGATCCTCATCTTGCTAACAAAACTCAATCTCCTTTTAATGTTTGAACCTAAAAAATATCAAAAAGGAGGCAGAATGAAAAATACACATATTTGAACATGTGACTAGTTGTTTAAAATTGCAAGGGAGGGAGAACTCATGATTCACTGTCAATGATGGTGGGAGGAAGATGAACAGGATAGGCAAAATCGAATTACTTGAACCTATCAATAGAAACTCAAGCTTGAACCAATTGGAGGAAGATAAAGGGAAGGGGAAGGATGTTGCTTTAGGAATGACGGCACCGACAAAGGGAGGAGGCCGTGGTATGAGAAGCTTAGCTGCATAAACGGTGATGGTTGGAGGGTCGGGGAGAGAGACAAGGGAGGAAAGATGGGAAGAGCAATTTGGTCACAAAATAATCAATCATATGATTGATTTCCTCATATCAAAGGATGGTAGTATTGGACAATCCCATGTAGACAAATTTGGAATTAGAATTAAGTTTCCTGATACCTCATACCAAATATAAAAAGCTGGTATTGATCAATTTTGATTTCAATCCCACCCCTCCAGTCCTTTATACCAAACAGTACCTAAGTTTCAAAATCTTATAAATCACTACTGTTGTCTTCAAGAACCAGTCTTTATTGTGCAGCAATATTGGAGCAAGTTTGTCTTTTCATGTCTGAAGACAAGATTTGGAGCACATGTTGCCTCGTCGTTCTTGGGCTGCACAAGTATACATGCTGGTTCTTAAGGCTTGGTAGCCGCATGCTCCCTTATCCATTGTTCAAACAACAAGAAGTGATCTGCTGTGTCATGTCATAGTGTCTGCCATGTTAACTTTTCCAAAAAAAAAAAGGAAAAACATTAACTTTTTATAAATTATTAATTTAATCCATTAATTTTGGTGTAGAATAACTCAACCCTTATAATTTATTAAATTATAAAATTATAGGCATTGAGTTGTTCTAGGTAAAAAAATTATAAAAATTGAGTTGTTCTAAATAAAAAATATGTATATGAATTGAATCATGTCAAGTAAAAGTTTAAAGATTAAATAGTAATTTAAAAAGCTTAATTGCTAAAAACTTTAAAAAAAATTATTTTTTTCTAATTCAAGAGTTCAGTTGTTGAACTCGTGTACTGTTCAATTTGTATGCAAGATCTAATTGACAAAAAAAAAAGCTAGATTTTGGAAACATTTTACTTTTCCTCAGCACACTATTACTCGTTTAAGAGAAAATGTCAAGTGACTTGAATAATGGTGTAGAACTTGGAGCGTTTTCCCACAAAATTGTACTTTATGGTAATTATCCTTTCCATTTTAACCACAAAAAAAATGCATTGACTTTTTTTTTAAAGGTGCTTGACATTTTTTTTTTTTTTAAAAAATAATGTTACCTCAAAAAGTAATGTTGCTACGGTAGCCTTTTGTTTAGAGTCGGTAATTCAGGCGAGTCGGGCTCAATTCGGGCCGGACTTATTTGGATCGGGCTTAAAGAATCTTACTTTTTTTAAAAAACTCATATAGCCAAACCCGACCCTAACGCTTTTGGGCTTATTCAGGCCGGCCCAAATACCTGAAAACTTTTTTAAAATATTTTTTTTATTTTTAATCAATTTTAATTTTTAAATAATTTTATTAAGCATAACATATTATTTTAACTTGAAAGGAATAAAAAAATAATAACTTATTAACTTTATAGTTAAGTATTTAAGTAGCTTTGTTACTATTTTATTGTATTATGTGCAATTTATTCATGAATATTTCCTTTACTTGTAAATTAATGTCTTATTTATTTAAATATTGCCCTTATCATAGTTATATAAAAATATTTATATATTTTAATTAAATCATATTATTTTAATTATAATCAAGTTAATCTCAATTCAACTACGGTTAAACCATTAATTTAAAATTATTGTCCTGATTAGTTCAAAATTTTTAATAACTATTGGAATAAACTATACTTTTTATTTTTAAGAATATGAAAAAAATAGTCGTCATTATATTATATAAAACAAAATTATTTAATTATGGGAAAAATACTATTTTTTGAATTTTTTTCTTTAAATATTTTACATTGTTTAAGTCCTATATATAAAAAATATTTACTTTAATTCATTCTTAATTTTTAACTAAGTCTGGCGTGGATAATAATCTAATAATTATTTAAAAATATTATTTTATTTATTATATTTATTTAGTAGTAGAGCCAAAAATTTGTACATGTCCAAATTTTATTTTTAAAATTATTTTTAATTTAAAATTAATTATCTTATTTTATAAAAAATATAAAATATAATTTTTTGGACAAGAAAATATTTATATGACTCAATTTTTTTTAATTGAGTCTTAAAATATAAAAATTAATATTAAAATATATTTTAATTATTATTATGAGATATTTTATTTGATTAAAAATAATAAAAATGGAAAAATATAAATATTTTTATTTTTTTAAAATAACTATAATAATACACTCAAATATATGGTATTTTAAAATAAAATAATATAAAATTTGAAAAATAATTAATATTTATTATATTATATATTTTTTAAAAAAATTATTTTTTCGGGTATTCGAGCCAAACCGAACCCAATCGGGTTTGGCCCTAATTTTCTCAGACCTATTTGAACAGTCTGAATAATAAAAAATTTTTTTTTTTGAATTTAAAATTAAATTTTTTGAGTGAATTCAGACTAACTCATTAAATTTAATTTAAATTACCGGCTTTACTTTTGATCACGGTCGCTTTGGCTTTATTTAACATGCTGGCAGCCATCATGAGACATTAAAAAAAAAAAAAAGTTTACGTAAGCTTTCTTGCTTCTTTCTCTTCTTGCTCTTCGATGATCTCAGCTCCCTAGCTCTCCCTAAGCTCTTCCACCACCGGATTGCCCAAAGGGGTTGCACTTTACCTGCTCATCTTCCGCCACAGTAGTCAACCTGCCGCACAGCTTCACCACTGCATCCATGCTACTTCAATCTTCTCTAGGCTTAAAACCTGGTTCCCACATTCCACATACCCTGTTATCTCTGATCCAAATGAACGAAGCCACAGAACGATCTCCCACCTCACCTATCGGCTGCAGATGAGGGTGCCCATGAAACCCCCTTACCGCCGCTACAGATTCTCCTACCATGGAGAGTATGAAAACCAAGACGCCACTTCGATAGATCCCTAAGTGGCACGTTGCCATACAGAGAGTTGAATCGCTAAACTATGCCAATTCTTCACGGTGCTCGTTCTTACTTTAATTTTTCTGATTCAATTGTCCTATTCATTTTCCCTTTGTGACTCTGTACTTGTCAACACTTACCTCCTTGTTCCCTTGGGTGACAATTAGGAGTTTTCCTCTTCTTCGGCGTAAGTGGCCACCGGCGAGTTTGGAGGAGGAACGGTGGCGAAGTGGCCACTGGAGATTGGAGCAGAAGCGACGGAGGGTCTTGTTGAAGAGTTTGATCATAGCGGTGAAGTGGGTATGTGATGGAATTGGATCGCGGTGAGATGCGAGCATGGGACAGAGGGTTGTGGTCTGTGAGTTGAAGTTGCAGAGTTGTTTTCAACTTTGCCTTGCGTTTCTGTTTGGAATGAAGTTCTGAGGAATTTTGAGTTTGACTTTTCTTGCTGATTGTGTTTCTGATCTTTTCCCCGCTATTGGTCGAGAAAAATTATTGCATACCGCAGCTATAGGAGAAAAAAGTACTTTGTTGACCCATTCCTTTTTGGATTCGTGCTTCTTTGTATCATTCTAATCTTCATTATTGAATGAAGTTATGACTGAGAGAAACAATATACTTTGTCTGTTAAATTGTAGAGGATATGGAATTTGGATGGGAAATTGTTCTGGGTTCCATAATTGGTTTTTGTGGAGCAGCGTTTGGAAGTGTTGGTAGTGGTTCAAAAAATCATTCCAATGTTTTCCATTGCCCAGTAGCCTTCGTCGTTGTCTTCTTCTTTACAGTAGTACATCACAATCACTCTCTCTAGTCATTAAACCCGAGAGGAAGATCGGGGCCCCAAAAAATGTCCATCAATTGCTTGAGGAAGGAAGAAGATGGAGACGAGATGAGTGAGGAAGAAGAGCCACGTGTATATGTTTTTTAAAAAATTAAAGTTAAATATACGGTTAACACTAATGCCAAGGCAAAATTCCTTCTTTAAAAAATTAAAGTTAAATACACGATGGCAAGGGAAAATTACTCCTTTTAAAGTCTTGGGACAAAATTATTTCAAAAAAATTTAAGTGTTAGACGCTTTTGAAGAAAAAAATTTTAAAATATTTTTACCTTTTAACTTTTGAAAATATAAATTTTGTTTTGTTTTTATCAATAAGCAAGTGTTAATTTTAATAGGAGGAATGATGATAGTTTAAGTTTAGATTTGAATTTGTATAAATAAATAAAAATTAATAAAATTACTTTAATATGAACCCCAACAATGCTTGATTCTATCTAGTTGGATAGCTATATCCAAAAAATGTGTTTTTAAAGAATTTTTTTTTTCCATTTTAGAAGTTCAGAGCAGCATTTATTTATTTTTTCTTATTATAACCCAATTTACTTTGCCAATTTCAAATATATATATATATATATATATATCAAGCTTTAGAGGTAAATTTGACAATATGACCAATATTTTTGTGTATTAATTGTGTTTCTTTATCCGTGCAAAAATGCTTTATATATATATATATATATATATGAAAGCGAGGAAGTATATTATAAACTATTTTTTGTTACAGAGATTGCTATCTCATAGCTTGTGTTTAGGGATTTGGCCAGCCTCAATAAAAGCAGTGGCAAGGAGAGAGTAAAGTTTTCAGTAAAATCAACAAAAGCATTTGTCCAGTTTAACATGGGGTAGGCATCTGTTGTGAAATGAAGATAATTCTTTGAGCACAGGGTAAAATACCATATTAGTTGAGAATTGCCATTTAAAATAGTGCTCTCAAGGACTAGAGCACTAAATAACATCTCAAATTCACAATGATGACCTAGGAATGCTAAGCTGTAAAATTCAAGACAAGAATTTCACTCAAAAAACAAAAAAGCAAAATCAAGACAAGGAGATCACAACAACCAGGTGAAGTGATGAACTATGATTTTAGTTTTGGACCACTGATATTGTCATTCACAAATTTACATATGGATTGGTGGATGATTGAAGAAACGATCCACAAAACCGGGGAAGAAAATCTGGGTTAGCATGAAAGTTGAACTGTCATTGCAGAATTCTGCATATCGCATCTCCAACTCAAATCCTGATTTGGTCACATCAGAAGATTCAAGCCATTACCATGTTATTAATTTTTAACAATTAGAATGCTAGGTTATCTCCTATACGCCATAAGCCCCAATGGAAGAGTTAAATGCAGAAAAAGGCCAAGCGTATTGCAAACTGGGTGGAACAAGATCACTCGATTCAGGAAATGACCAATGTAAACAAAAATTTACAAAATTTAGCTTGCCAAACCTGTGTAAAAGTAGGTACTTGTCTATGATATGATAACCCTGCCAGCCAAAACGACCGACTTTATTAGGATCATTATTCGTCCCCCGCCTCTATCTTTTCCTCGGATTTCCCCTCCTCTGCAATATGCAAGCCCTCAATCTTGCAAGAAACCTCGTCTGCGTCAACCTTCACCTTTGCAAGTGATCCATTTGCAGACATAGACTCTGACTCATCATAGGTCAAAGGGCCAGTTTGCCATATTCTAATGGTTCCGTCCTCAGATCCTGAGGCATATGATTCACCCCCAGGAGAGAAACGCACACAGTGCACAGGACCATGGTGGCCTTTGTTGCATGCTGAGATAGATCATCGCAATAATTATATCTAAATCAGAACAATTCCAGAACAAACTGAAATATTAAACCATCTAAGCATATTGAAAAACCAAAAGTCAGAAATGTGAAATAACCCTACAAAAGCTTCAAGCAAGCAACAGCCCATATACTAGGAAGTGACAAATGTTTGATAACTTACCAATGTCATTGCCAGTATGGAAGTCAAAAACACGAACCCACATGTCTTCTCCCCCAGCAACGAATTTATTCCCATGTTTAGGTTCCAATGAGGCTGATTCAACAGTGCAAGGCATATCATAACTCTTCACCAACTCGTAGCTGAAAGGCAAGAGTAACGTCCTGAACATAAAATATAAAATATTTCGAAGAAATCGACCAACTAGGATTACAACTCACTAATTTGCATCCCAAAATTTAACAGTAGAACCATCTGCAGTTATGATGTAACGACCATCCCGGCTCACTTCAGTACTAGTCACAGATGATTTGGTCTCAAGTGTCTGGACTATTTGACCACTTCTTATATCCCATAACCTTTGAATTGGTGACTAAAATCAGTGCAATATAGCATTTAATGTTGATATCAAAATTTAGAAATTGAAACAAGAAACAAATAAAATCCAAGAGAAGCTTCAACATCACATGATTAACCGAGGAACATACCTGACACCTCCCATATCGGTACAAGAACTTAATATTGTCTGGTCACTATGGAGCCATGTAACTGTTCTGATAGAACCAGAGGACTTCTCAACTTCTCTGGGTGGTGCATCGGGACGATTCAAGTCATAGATGCGGAGAATTTTCTCTAATCCTCCAGTGAGTAAAAGGTGTGTATCCTGTTCCCAGGTATAAAATATTAATGCACATGAACAATCATCCATTTGTAGTCTAGGTCCAGACAGATTACAAGTGTTAATGGCGTCAATTAATTTGCAGAGTTTACTTTTTGGACAGAACAAATTCAAGAGTATTAAACAAAAAGGAGCCACTGAACATCTAATGGTCAAGAAGATTGAGTGGTGTGATAGAAGAAGGCAGGAAGAAAGAAGAGGGGAGCAAGGAGAACTTCTAAATTTAAGAATGACGAATTACCAATAAAGACCAATATTGAAAGTAGACGTAAATAAAATTGTAAAGCATCCAACCTACCTCAGAAAAAGCACATGCACGAACAATGTGCTTATGCTCAAACGAGTGTAATTCATCTCCTGTTAATGCATCCCAAACTTTCCTGCAAATGAAAACAAATAACATTATCTAGCAACCTCACATTGATGAACGTCTTCTACCATTGGTTCAACCTGGCTCACTGCATTTATTGCTCGAAGACTAGAACTATGTGTGTTGCATTTTGTTGGCAATATTAAAAACAAAAGGAAATAAAAGAGAACTTTTATTTGTGGGGCATCAAAAGAGAAAGCTTGATTCAGCCAAATACTGCTCCCATTCTACAAAAAGACAAGCAAACATAAAAGGAATCAATTTTCAAATTTCAAATTTTCAAATAAAATAAAAATATAGAGGAGGAAAACCACAGGTGCTGATAACTCTGATAGGAATAATGGATTGATTCAGCAAAATGCACAACTAACCAACAACAGAGTGCACTTGTGTTATGTATATGCTGAAAAAATTAACTAAACTTATTCAGATGCATCCCACACGAGCTGAACCCAGAAATTTCAATGAAAGACTCTAGTTAAGGCAGGTGATCCCCATGGGCTAACAAGACGACTAGCATTACCAAAGATGCATAGGACAGTGAGCTTCATAATGAGCACGCAAAAATTAAAAAGCAATTACATACGATGAGAAATCAGCAGAGGCAGTTGCAGCACGTAAAGCATTTGTATCCAAGCAGCAACTCCATACGGCACCTTTGTGCCCTTCAAATGTTCCAATCCAATCTCCAGTCTCTCCATTTCTGAGCATGGGACTAGAATCTAAACCCCACAAGAAAAGCTCACATATTACACGGTGAAAATATTTATAAAACAAAAAACAATGAACAATGTGGGCAAGTTCGATACAATAGTGCAGAAATGCCAATATCCTAAATGGGATTTAAATTTGGGCACTACAATTCAATTAAGCATCCTAACTTCTCATCCATTAACAAAAGCCTTTCGGTTTTGGAATTATAAACGACAAAATATTGACCAGTGAAGTCTGAGAGCGGACACGGAATAGATCAGAAAATGAGTCAGAGGCATCTAGTCACAGGAAAAATAACAATCAAGACCAATTTCATATTGCTGACAAAACAAGTGCAGCCAACAAGAATAAAGTTCAAAAACTGAATTTTGAAGCCAAAAAGATAAGGTCATGGCTGAAGAGACCATACCCTTGCTTGCACTGATGAGGAAGAATCCATCGGGCGTGACAGGACTGTAAAAAAGATCCACTACAGGACGGGAATGGCCGTGGCAAACGAGCGGAACCGCGACCTTTTTTTTATCCATTATTCAAGGAGATAATCTAGAAACTTCTAACTTAGTTTATCAGTAAAATGAGGTAGAATGAAAAATTCTGTTTTCTCCCAATATATACTGCGCTTTCTTTCTTTCCTTATTATTATTATTATTATTATTATCCAGAGTATGAGATGCAAATAAACCCTAAATCTTTGTAAACTATTAGTAATCGCAACCAAAAGAAGATTCAGAAGAAACGATCACTAGCAAAACTGAGATATAGAGCTCTCGGTGAGCGAATCACACGCAAGTGCTGTCTCAATCAGACGAAGATTGAGTCAGAAAATGGCGGTATTAAGAACACAGGTGGGGAAAGCCGATTCACTGAAACTGGGAACTAAAAAAGGGTAATATACTGACATACATGTATCCACACATCCTAAGTCCTAACCCTCCATCAAAGCTCTGAGAAATTTAGATCTAAGAGAAATGGAGGCTAAGGAGAAACCAATTGTAAAGTAAACCTACAAATACAGGACCAGGTTGGAGGAGGGAAGGACACAGTAGATGAGGACGGAGCTGGGGGAAGGTAAGGGCGTGCTTGGTTATGGGAGAGAGGTTGTTAGTAATCCCTGCGTTTTTTTTTTTTTTTGGGAGGGGGTGTGGAATCTCTGTTTGGTTGGGCTGTGTGCAAAAGTCTTTCAGTCCTGTCTGGTCCAATCCAACTCGAAATGGTCTCAATCTTGTTCAGTCTATATAGTCACTAACCCTTCAGGACCAAAAAGACTAAAAAGATCAGACTATTTTTTTGGGTTGGACTGGACAAGAGACCAGGCATCCGGACCACTTGGTACAATCCAGTCCTATTAATTTTTTTATTATAATTATAATTAATTTATTTTTGACAAATGTTTAAAGTGTAATTGATGCTAAGGAGATGATTGTATAAAGATTTATTAAGTTTGTTTCTAAATTGTTATTGTAATATAGTGTTGTTGAATTTTGTTGAGTACTGTTTTTGTTAAAATTATAAATTTAAATAATTTAGACTATAACAGAAATATTTTTTTTTCTTATTGTTAGAAATTATTATGGATTTATTATTATTATAAGTGTTTTTACTATCTTAATTGAATTTATTATGTTGGAATGGATTATTGCCTCTCATATAATAAAAAGAAGGAAAAAAAGCTAAGTGAGTACTGGACTGACAGGACCAGTCTCCCAGTCCTATGGACTAAGTCCGGTCCTGTTAATCTTCGGGTTATCACTGGACAAGACTGGACTACGGGTTGCCTAATCTAGTCTTTTTCATGAAAGAGACCGGATTTCGGGTTAGGGTGAAGTCCAGTGCCATTCTGTCTTTTGTGCAGCCCTACTGTTTGGTTTAATTGAAGGGAAACGTAGAGGGAGAAACTTTTTATCCCTTGTTTTTTTTATTCCAGAATTAGGAAAAAAAAACTAATAATAAATTGATCATGCCATGAAAAGTCATGTCAACTCACTTGGATTAATAAATTATTAAATTAATATTTTATTTAATTTAATAAAATATTTTGTTAAAAAATGAAAATAAAATTTTTTAAAATTATATAAATAATAGTTTAATTTTTTAAATGTTATAATTTTATTGAAATTCTTAAAAATTTTTGTGTCGATAAATTTTAAAGTGAAAGAATATTTTACTCTTATTAAAAATAGTAAATTTTAATTAAAAATTTTATTTAAAGAATAATAAATTTTATTTTATAAATTACAATAGTTGAACAATAAATTACAATTTGTTAAGTATAATTTTTGTTGAAAAACTTTTCAAACTAACAAGTAACAATCACAAATTTTACTTAAAGAATGACAATTTTTGTTTTGCGAATTGCAAAAGTTGAATAAAAGATAACAACTTGTTAGGTGTAATTTTTGTTATATAGAAATAAGTTATTAAAATAATAAGCTTCGATCATAACTTTTGTTTAAGATGTAATAACTTTTATTCAAAAAATAGTAAGAATTGAATAAGAAATTACAACTTATTAATAAAAGTAAAATGACCTTTTCAGTTTAAAATTTTTTAATACATAAGTCCTTAGTTACTTCAGTGAAATTATAACATTTTAAAGAATCAGATTATCATTTATATAATTTGAGGTATTTTAATATCATTTTTCCTATTTCGTTTATAACCAATTTGATTATGGTTCAATCATAATTTTAACTATTGACTCTTTAATCAATATTTTGTTCGTTTTAATAACAAGTATGGTTTTTGATACTTTCATGTCAACAAATTGTAATAATCCCTTTCATGTGATCATACAATTTGAAAATAATTTGATTTTTGTAAATAATTCAAGTGTGACCTTTAATCGCCCAATTTATTTGTCATGAATTTGAGAATTAATAATGTTTGAATCCTAAATGCTACCCACATTTATCCCATTATAATAATTTAAATATGATTTTAAGAGATCAATATCAATTGTCCTCCCATTAGAGCAATCCTGTTTGAGATAGGATCAGATACTGGATGTAGACACCTCTTATAACAGAGATTTTTACCTTAATTTGTCATATTATAAAGAACTAACTCATTTTATTAAACCTAACACTAATAATAGTATCAATTGTTTTTATTTTTAGTTTCATTGACTAATTAACAGATAGCAAGGCACCACAATCTAATGCCTCATTTGGTATAGTAAAAGTGATTTTAATGGTAGTAGAAATGGATATAGAAATGAAAATAGGAATTTAAAACATGTTTAGTATGTTCGTGAAATTATTATATAATTTTTAATTAAAATTATTTTGCTAAAGGACTAAAATACCCTTTGCTCTGGGGAAAAAATACATTTGCAGAACATCCTCCAGCCTCTGCCATCGAAGGCACCCACCCCACCCCCTACCGGCAACAACAACCAAAATATTTAACAGTACAAAGCAAATATGAAAAATGACAGTTAGAAAAATATATTTGAAACATGGTAGAGAAGATGAAGTGGAATCAAAGATTTAGAGAAATCAAAACCGTAGTTTGAAGATCTAAAGAAAAAGATGAAGCTAAAGATCTAAGAAGAAATTGTGAAGAAGAGATGGTGAAGCAGAGGAGACGATGGCAATGGCTGTCGAGGAAGGGAGGAGGACAAAGCATTCTATCATTGAGGAGGTCATTGTCATCTCATTATCATCATTGTCATTAAGGAGATCACCGTCATCTTTCATTACCATAGTCAAGGAGGTTGTTTTCACCATCAATCACATATATTGATTTACAAATCCGTTGCCATTGCTGAAGAGTTTTTATCGAGGGGGGAGATAAAAATAAAGGAGAAAAATGACATAAACCTCAATTCCAAGGAACTCTTCATAATTCTATGGGTTAGATGATGGGAATCAATTTAGCCAATTTTTATAGAATTTGATTCCACATGGAATTATGATTTGGCATCATAAACAGACTAGCATGTGATTTTCAACTCTAATTCCACCTCCATATCATTCAATTCCACTATACCAAACAGGCCTTGAGTTTTAAAAAACCACCTGAGGCATGTTTGGTTAACACTCTAACTAAGGTTTGGGTGACCTAAGTCCTAAACTTTAAATGGGATGTTAAAAGTCCATTATAAAATCCTGAATTTTGCTAGGATAAAAAAAATGATAAAAAGAGATTCTAGAAGGAACAAATTATTTAAATTAAAGCTATATAAACAAGCTTTTGAATGCTTGTGGGTTTAAAAATGGCTAGCATTTAACAGTTTTAAAAATTTGTTAGGTTTTCTCTCTCCTTATCCTCTCTCAACGTGGTCCACCACTCCTTTTTTTCTCTCTTATTGCCTCTGTCTTCAATTTAAGCAATAAATCGTCAGCTCTATCTTTGCTTGTTTGTGTATTCGCTCATTTACCTTGATTTTTTTAAATAATTCAAATGCAACCTCTAATCACCAACAAAAAGTTATCATTTCTTTATTCTCCAAGGCTTTAAGAACTAACAGTGTTTGAATTCTAAATGCTACCTAATTTATCCTTTATAGACATTTAGGAAGATTTCTTCCACCTATCTCTTTGTTGGGGAAGCAAGATAGGTTGTCATAGAAAGGATGTGCCTCCTATTCTTACAATACTAAGGATGATTATAAACCAATCATAAATGATTTAAGCAATCATTGTCTTGATAATTTTCCCTAGTCCCTCTTTTGGAAGCTTAAACTTCCTTTGAAATTGCTGCCCTTTATTTGGATGTTTTTTCATGAAGCAATTCCCATCAATGACATCCTCTAAAGGCATTAATTATTCTCTAATAACAAGTGCTCCTTTAAATTGTTCAAGTTGCTTGCAACCTCTTAAAGATTTCATAAAAGGGTTGATTCTGGATAAGGAAAATCATTTGCTTGAGAAGTTCATAATTCTAATATATAGTATTTGGAAGACTCGAAATTCCATCATTTATAGCGGACATAAGCTTTATCTAAAGAGAGGCGTACACGGATTTCATCACTCATGTTATTTCCCAAAGCATGTTTTTACCTGAAATTAAGGAGAGGTGCATGCATCTAGTACAACTGATCCTTACAACTTATTTAGCCTATGAAAGCTTACTATCTCTCTTGATAAAAGGAGGTCCTTAAAGCTCCATGGATATGAATGAAACCTTATCTAAACTAAATAGATTGTTCACAATAGCTTTGAATTATGTTTGTTTTACTACTAACATTAGGGGTTGTTGTTCGCAAGATCTCATTCCCTTATGTTGGTCCAATTGCTTCTTTAATGATCTTGCGGATGAAGGCTTTAGTTTTGTGATAGCAAAAGACATCCAATCTCTATTCACCAACTTCAATGCAATCCATGCAAAAAGTTTAAGATGTAGACATATACTAGAAAACATGTGTCTTCCATCTTTTAATTTATTTTTTAGCTTCTAGCTTGCTTTTGTCTAATTATTTTCGTTTTTTTTTTATTTACCATATGTATTTGAATTATTTGGCAATAAAAAAAAAACCAAATGCTATCTATTTTTTTTATTGCTCACATGTATCTCAAGGCACATTCGAATATTAACTGTGGAGGGATTTGGATCATGTTTGTGCCTTCCCTAGCTCCCTCAATATCTCTTTTTATGTCCAACTATATTTGACCATTTAAATACTTTTAAATTTAATTCAATAGTGTAAGACCACATGTGGAGAGAGATATTGGTAGAAAGGGCATGGAAAAGATCTAAATCTAATGATAATCCTTCACCATATCTTTGTTGTAGCAAACAGAACATACATTACAGTGATTACATTTATCTTGAACTTTATTTTTCTATCACCTGAAACATCAATTTTTTTTTGTTAAAGGGCAAAAATGCCCCAAAACTTTTTTCCAGAGGTTCCTGATATTTAAAACTTTTGTTTAGAGCAATTTTACCATGAAGTTTTAAAAAAGGGTACTTTTTGACCCATTGTCAACTTTAAAAAATGTTGACTGTTAATGACTTTGTTTGACTAAAAAAAAGTGACATGCGTCAACTGAATGTTCTTCCTCTTCCTTTTACACCTCCTTTGCCTTTAGTTCCTACAATTCCACACTATGGGAACAAAAACAAATCTTGACCTATGGTAAATAGATGCTTCCTAAAAGATTCTTCCTCTTCCAAGAGGTGAATTGGCGAATTCAAACCTTGTGCTGCTAAATTTGCCTTACACAGTTCTTTTTCTTCTTGGTTTTTCATGAGGGACATGCCGAACTTAAAAAGCTTTTTAGTTATCGTTTTGGCTGTGGCTTGGAAGGAGATTGAATTGTCTTGAAACTTCACTCTTTTGAGTGACAATGGCAGATCATGCAATCCCCTATGCCCCTACCTTGACCTTGCCGTGCACATGTTCCTTAAGATTTTTGTCTTTAAATGTTGTTACGCAGTTAGATTTGCGACGCCATCATTGCAAAACCAAAGAAATATTTGCTGAGGTTGACGAGGCTGTTGTGAGGTAATAGGAAGGGTCAGGTCCTCATGAGTCATTTGCGAGATCTATGAGGAAACTAAAGAAGCTCCCCATTCATTTTGCTCTGATTGTGTTACAAAACAATGGTAATGAAAATTCAAAAAAACATAGCAATAGTTTTGTGTCCTTGTTTGGATTGCAAGAGTGATCTTGAGCTTGACACTCGTCAACCATGGCTTCCAAGGATTTCCTTGATCAGGAACATGTGTAACTTGGGGTAAAATGATCAAACAAGAGAGCGACATGTGTACATTTATTGATCAAAGTAAAGATTTAACTGTCAATGGATATCTGAACGGTAGGGCAAAATTATTTCTGCTTTTAAAGCTCTTAATAAAATTATTTTAAATAAAAATTAAGAATATCAACCTTACGTAAAAATATTTCAAGATAGTTTTACTTTTTTATTTTTTTAAAAGCAGTAAAATCATCATTATTTTATAGGAGAATTATCATCAAATTTTACACAAAAAATTTAATTATTATAAAATTTATTAATAACTCTATCAATAATTTTAATTTAATTATTAAAATTATTAGTTTAATTATTAATAAATTTTACAAGTAATTAATTTTTTTACGGAAAATTTTAAATGTAATTCTAATTTCATTTTGATTTATTAATAAGGGCGGTATTTAAAAGTTCATTTGGTCCATAACTTCAGCGAGTCGATTAGCTGAGGCGTGAATTGCAACGCACGAAACGAATAGAATAAAGAGATTCATCTGATTCCGGATTTGCAAATCGAGCGATCCCGAGTCACTGAAAGGTTTCCTATGGCGACGGTGGGAGTGGAATTGAAGCAGCCGGAGGCGGCACCGGAAGAGACGTGCTCAGCGAAGCCCGCCAAGCAGGGTGAGGGTCTTCGCCAGTACTATCTTCAGCACATCCACGAGCTTCAGCTCCAGGTCCGCCAGAAGACCCATAACCTCAACCGCCTCGAGGCTCAGCGAAATGAGCTTAATTCCAGGGGTGATTTTTCTTGCTCTAACCCTAACCCTAAATTTGAAATTATTTACTTCATGTCTTCAAGATTTCTTTCGTTTCCGGATGTAATTGGCGAACTTTGCAATACAATCCTGGTTCTATATTTTAAAGCTAGATTTGATTCACTATGAAATAAGTATTTTTTTTAATGATATTGGAATGGGAAATTCTTCTAAATCATAGAAGTGTTGATTAATCTTTCACAGAGATTGTGTGGATGGTTGTTATTCATGTCACTTATAAATTCTTGGTTTTGTTTCCCTCTCTGCGCTACTTTCTCTTGTCTCAATCCACTGTTTGATTAATGCGTTTCTAACATGCATAATTGGGACAGTGAGAATGCTTCGGGAAGAACTACAGCTTCTTCAAGAGCCCGGATCATATGTTGGCGAGGTCGTCAAAGTTATGGGAAAAAACAAAGTTTTAGTAAAGGTGAGCAGATGGTGCATCCTACTATTCTCTCTTATTTGATTTGGGTTGTGTTTTTGAAGCTTTGGAATCTCTTTAACTGTGGTAACTTGCATCAATTTCTATTTTCTTTTAAAGACATTACTCATCTCTAGAAAAATTTCTTAGAATGTTGTTAGCTGCAGAATTGAAAATCTTCAGCTCATTTTTATCTGTGCACATAGTATAGGGCATCGATTTGAAGCCAACTATTAAGGCAGACTCGTGAAAATTGTTGTGTTTTAAATCTAGGGTTTCCAGGGGAGGTCAACACGACATATGCAGTCATTCTGCTGGATTTGGGAGTAAAAGTAAACGATTTCACCTACTGGCACAAAAATAGTCTGCAGAACTTTTGGTGCACTTAAATTATTAGAATAGGACGTGCAAGACAAATCTCCACCCACCATATGATGTTTTCATCCGTCACTCTTTTTACAAAATTTTAAGTCTAATAACCCAATTCACGACAGTTATCAGCAATGTCCCTGGAATTATGAACCTCCATCTTGTCTGTTATAGTTCATGGAACGATCATCACGTATTTTCATTGTTGTTGGTTTTGTTATACATTAAAGTATTTGTTTTTGAATCAATGTAGTAAGTAGACATATTCATACTTCCTATTCATAATGATTTTCTTTATCCTGCACTTGTGCCCATAGTAGGCGTGATATCTGTACTCTTAATTGGCAGCATAATTGGCCAAAAAAAGATGTTGTAACATAGGTTTTTTGACTGATTGATGGCATCTTTGATCATTTATGCAAGAAAACACCAAAATAGTTATGTCGAGGACCATGCTTCATCTGTTGTGTTCCCCAATATCAGTATGATTTTATCCCTTGGAAATTGTATTCGTTTATGCATGAGATCACCACTATAGAATGAAAATAAACGAGAAGCACTAATTATTTTTATTTTCTTCAGGTTCACCCAGAAGGAAAATATGTTGTTGATATTGATAAAAGCATTGACATTACAAAAATTACTCCATCAACCAGGGTTGCCCTCCGCAATGACAGTTATGTTCTTCATTTGATCTTGCCTAGCAAAGTTGATCCATTGGTCAACCTGATGAAAGTTGAAAAAGTTCCTGATTCTACCTACGACATGATTGGTGGCCTGGACCAGCAAATCAAAGAGATAAAAGAGGTTCTCTCTCTCTCTCTCTGTATAAGCATCAAAAGATTATTACATCTGTTTGGTTTGATGTTTGATATCTTTTTGTCCTTTTGTATGGTTTCTCTTTATGTATTTGATTGTGTACTGCATATTGCTCTTATTATATATTACGCAAACCATTGTAAGTGTTGCTTAATCTCTTGTTTGGCAATTATATTCACAGGTCATTGAGCTGCCAATCAAACATCCTGAACTGTTTGAAAGCCTTGGAATAGCTCAACCAAAGGTTTGTGTTAAAGTTATTTAAGAAATTATTAATACTTGGTTCAGCCAAGAATAGTTTCTTGAGTTTGGTTCTTCTCATGCCTACTTTTGTTTGATTTTTTGTTGACTCTCCTTCACATGCCACAGGGTGTCCTACTGTATGGACCTCCTGGTACAGGAAAGACATTGTTGGCTAGGGCTGTGGCACATCATACTGATTGCACATTCATCAGGGTTTCTGGTTCTGAGTTAGTTCAGAAATACATTGGAGAAGGTTCTAGAATGGTTAGAGAACTTTTTGTTATGGCCAGGTTTGTCCTCTTTACTCAGATTCCTTAATTCTCATTCATCTGTCACCCCACCCCAAGAGATCAAATAAAGATTGCTGTCATTGTGGGTAGAAGACAATTCTAAGTAAAGGCTTAATGTTATGTATGAATGAAATGTTGTGTGAATTTTGCTAAGTCTCGATATTTTTGGTCATCATTAGACATGCTTGGCTGTTGGCTTATATTTTATGGCAGAACAATGTTCTGTTTGTAGGGAGCATGCTCCATCCATTATCTTCATGGATGAAATTGACAGCATTGGTTCTGCTCGGATGGAATCTGGAAGTGGCAATGGTGACAGTGAGGTGCAGCGCACTATGTTGGAGCTTCTCAACCAGCTGGATGGATTTGAGGCTTCAAATAAGATCAAGGTAATATGCGATGCTTCAGAATGATGCTACAATGTAGTAACTACCAACTAGTAAAGGTGATTAGTTTTGTTTCTGTGCTGAACGTAGGAGGAGACATTTAATTACTGCACCCATCTCATTCATTTAAATGAAGACTTTCCTGCTACGTTCTGAAGAGAAATATGTAATTTACAGGTTTTGATGGCAACAAATCGTATTGATATCCTTGATCAAGCACTTCTGAGACCTGGGCGGATTGACAGGAAGATTGAATTTCCAAACCCTAATGAAGAGGTATGCATCAATACTTGCATGGTGTCATTTTCATGTACTTGTATTGAGGAAAGGGTGAATGCACTGCAATTCATGAATATTTCTCTCTCTCAAACATGATTTTGTTTTGAATTCCTGCAGTCTCGGTTGGATATCTTGAAAATCCACTCTAGAAGAATGAATTTGATGCGTGGAATTGATCTGAAAAAAATTGCTGAGAAGATGAATGGTGCTTCTGGTGCAGAGCTCAAGGTAGTGTTTCCCTCTTCTTTTGCATTTCATCTTTGAATTCTGTAGTGCGCTCTCATCTGCTATCTTAATAATGGTCCCTGTCTGAGCAATGGATGGTTTGTTTTCAATGATTACTCTAAGGAGGATTTACCTATTCAATCCTGTTAGCCTTTGTTATAAACTATCAGTATGCATGCTTGCTGAGAGGCTGTGTATTTTGTTCAATTGAACTAAAGCGTTAATTTTGAATAGAGTAGCAAGAGATTGAGTTAAATTTGCTTGATTATCATGACTTATAAGTTGTGACTGGAATGAAGGGTTTCCTAGGAACAAGCCTTGAGAAACAAAGGTTAGTTTGAACTTTGATCGTATATACCATCAACATATTTGGGATGGACTGCTCAATGGAGCTGCATTGCCCAAGCATTATATGTCTGAATTTTGAGCTGACGGAGGCAAGCATGACAAAACACTTCAGGGGCCTGTTTGTTTCAGGTTAAAAAAAGTAATTTTTAGATAGCTTAAAGAAGGGAGACAAAAGAATAAATATAGTTTCACAGTTGTAAAATTAGAGTGTCAGTTTTGTCTTTAGGGTAGTTGCATATCTAGATAAGATGATAGAAGACTGGTTGAGACGGGGGATCTTGTGGCATGTACTTCATAATAGATATATGGCGTGAAACAGTGAAGAGATTTTGTTAAGCAACTCCGTGACATGGGCATTAACTTGTCCAACAAAAGCAAATAGGATGACTGTCGAAGGATCCACACAAATGCTCTCTCTCTCTCTCTCTCTCTCTCTCTCTCTCTCTCTCTCTCTCTCTCACGTCCCACGTCCCAGCCGGTAAGGGCAAGTTTGATATGTTGTCTCTGCCAAATTAATGCTTTTCTTTCAAATTGCGTTCAACTGGAACTAACATTGAATTTTCTTATGTACTTGAAGGCGGTGTGCACAGAAGCTGGAATGTTTGCTCTGAGGGAGAGAAGGGTCCACGTAACGCAGGAAGATTTTGAGATGGCTGTAGCCAAGGTCATGAAAAAGGAAACCGAGAAAAATATGTCATTGCGGAAGTTGTGGAAGTGATTTGTATTGGCTATTTGAACACAGAGACATACGCCTTAGGCTTGTTCCTAGGTTCTATACTTCACGCCTTTTTCCACAGTGCTTGTATTGCTGAAGTTGTGCATACTCGCTCCTGATTCGAGTTTGGCATTTTGACTCATCATCGGATATTTTGCATTTTGCTTTATGATTCAGAAGTTACTACTGAGCAGTGATCCTTATCCGGGGAGCATTTAATCCCGAATGCGAACTAAGTCAAACGTACGGGTGGCAGGTAGGTCTTTGATTTAATTTCCTTGACTTTTGAGTTTTTGGGCCAGCACCCATCAGCACGTTGTTTATTTCTCATATCTCAAAATTTTCGAATTTTATATTTCAAATTTAATTTCTTCTTCAGTAATATATCTTTTTGTGTTAGCTTTCAATTTGTATTGCAAGCTTTTTTTCTACAATATCTTGAGAAATTTTACAAGGTTATTAACATAAGTTTTTTGGGGAAAGTGATATAAAAATTCTTTTAAAATATACAAATGATAATTAAATCTCTTAAAATGTCATAATTATTTTCAGATTTTTGAGAATCTTTTTGATATTAATATTTTTAGTGAAATGATTAAAATACTTTTAGTTAAAAAAAGGGTAAATATTAGTTCAATTTTAGTTTAAGCAATAATTATTTTTTTAAAAATTAGTGACTAGAATAAAATAAGCAATTATAATTTTTTTATACAAATTTTTTATTTATTAAATTTAAAGTGTTGTAAATATTTGTAATTAGTTTAGTTTAAGTAATGGTTGTTTTTCTTATAGAAATGATTAAAATGAAATAAATGATTATATTTTTTTTAACTTTATTTTAGTCATTATTAGAAGAAAATAGTCATTGTTTAAACTAAAATAATTACTAGTATTTATTTTAAATTGAGGGTATTTTGATTATTTTATAAAAAAATTATTAATGTCATAAAGGTTAAAGGACTTGAAAAAAAATTATGATATTTTATGAGTTTTGCTGTCATTTGCATATTTTATAATGATTTTTATGTTATTTTTTTCCTTTTTTATATATGTTTTCATATTGGTTTTGAATCCTTGCATGAGCAATGGGTTCATAGATAAAATAATGTGTTTATATTTTTAATATGTATAAGAGTAACAAATTATAAAAAAAGAAAAAAAAAAGTTATTAGAACAACTCACTTTTTTTTTAAAAAATATTATTACATTTTTAAATTTGCATAGTTTTCAAATCATCAATATTACACTGAAATTGGGATGTGCAAACAAAATATGCCATGTGAGGCGTAATCTGAAAAAAAAAAAAAAAAAAAAAGACGCCATGTGAGGGGTCTGCATAATATAATTGCGTGATATGTTAAGTATTATTTTTACCGTTTTGTTGGGTCTTAATAATTATTATTGTACTTGGTATTATTGTATACCAAATGTGTGAAATTGTTTTTTAATACTGAATTTTTCTCTTATTTTTAAATTCCTTATCATTTTAACAAATAACAGATCATGACACCTTTTCTCCTTGGAGTCATTTGTTTAAGATTAAAAAAATAAATAATTTTTAAAATTTTAGATATTTTATAAAAATATATTTATTCTATAAAATTTTTATAAAAAATAAATATTATTTCATGTTCGGTTACAATAATCAAAAGTGATTGTTAGTTAATTATTTAAATTTTATGATATCCTCTTTGTTTTATAAAAATGATTTGTTATTCAATTATTTTAAAATTTTACCATATTTTTACATAACCCTTTTTTTTAAAACATTTTCTTTCATATACTATATTAGAATATGCTTTTTTTTTATTTTTTTATTTTTAAAAGTTTAAACAGATATCATTAAAACTTACAAAATAATTGTTTCAAAAAATAAGTGATTTTTTTTTTTCTTAAATAAGCTGAAACAAATGAGCCTAAACTAGTGCAATATTAAAAATCCCATGCATGGTGTATGGTATTATTATTATTATTGAAGATGTTTTGGAGGTTATAAATATATTGAAGATATAATTTTATTTTTTTAAATATCTTCATTTATTAACAAGGTTATATTTATGATGATCTTGAGAAAACTGGCTAGTGGCTTGTTAATTGACCAATGGCTCTTTTATTAATAAGGTTACGAGGGTATACAAAAAGTCAAAAATTAAACAAGTATATTAGTTAATACCATAATGGGTATTTTTTTTTATAAATATGACGAAAAATAACATCTAAAGAGGACCAAAGGGAATATATAATTATCATGAACTTGAATCCCACAAAAATCTAGTGTTTGATCAATCAGAAGACATTGAGAGAGTAATGGAATAATTTTATGTAACATTATATTGTTATTATAACTCCTCATTTGATTATATTTATGCTAGTTAAATTGTTTTCACACATGAATGGAACCATCATTTGGGGAATAATAGTTAAATCCTAAAAAAAAAAAATAATGATAGTTGTATTATCAATTTTTTTAAAAAAATTGATTGCAAATATTGCTTGAGACATTTTAAAAACAAGATTCTTAATTACAAAGTTATATATAAAATTTAAATATTTTATGTATAATCAAGACTACCAAATTTATAATTATTTAAATTAATATTAACAATTCACTTATAAAAAAAATTGTTGATAAATTGACCCACTAGACAAAAAAATTTTGCGCTCAATTTTAAAAATTTAAAAGTATAATTGATTCACATAAATATGCAAGAAATTTATCTTTGATATAAAAATAGTTTATTATTAAAAATTTAAAAATTTATAAGAGATGTATTAATAATATTATATTATTAATAAATATAATAAATAAATCATACTATAAAATATAATAAATGTTAGAGTGTGTATTTAATTTGGTCTAATAACATAAAAAACAAAAGCCCTAAAATTGTCAAGGAAATCATTAATTCGCTGTTTGGCACTTAACTCTAATTCCTTTTAATATTTTTTCCTCTCATTTTCCTTTCCTTTTTTTGGCTGAATTTTTTCCCTCCCATTTTCATTATTGATTATAATTATTGTACGACTCAACCGCGTGGACGAGAGTCAATTCCTTATTGGAGGATCCTACGTTGGGTGCCACTTGGGTCGGAGAAATTTAATAATGATCACATCAAATCAAAATTGTTACATTTCACAAATTAAAGGATATAAAAATACAAGTGATTTCCTTTTTTTGCCCCCTTTTTTATTTTTTATCACAATTTGTTTTCTTTATCATTTTATAGTGCGTTCTCCAGTTTCCTTCATATCATTCCATCTTCAACAATGTCAAGAACTCAAACACAAACACTCCTCAACTTCTTCATCTTCATCAATTTTCAATTCCCTTCTTTTGCCGATGTTGGTACTGCGGCTCACTATTCTCCTCCTTATTTACGTATGTACCCTTCAGACTTCCCTAAACTAATTTACTGTATTTATATTCGTGATTAGATTATATCTAATCATATCTAATCAAGTTATGATATGTAGCGACCGGTTGCTACGGCGGGGAGGCTTTACAGTTCCCGTCCAGCAACCTGTTTGCGGCGGCCGGAGATGGAATATGGGATAATGGGGCGGCGTGTGGGAGGCAGTACTTGGTAAGGTGCATAAGCGCAGAGCAGCCCAGGACTTGCATTCCGCAGCAGAGCATTCAGATCAAGATCGTTGATTATGCCGTCTCCACCGTGTCGACTCCGTCGGCCACCGGAACCACCATGGTTCTCTCTCAGAAAGCTTTCCAGACCATTGCTAATTCTTCTGCTGCTTTCATCAATATAGAGTTTCAACAGTGGGTTTATCTTCTTCCTCTTCCTTCATCCTGCTTCTTATTTTGCAGCGTGTGATTGTCTCTCACTCCAAGGAGCAGCTCGCTGTTATTAAGATGTCATAGAACGTTATGCCCTCAAGTTTAATATCATAAGTGAAAACGAAACAATTGAAGTTTTATAAGAATTAACAAATCTAAAACTTCAGGATGTTTTTTTAATCGTTTTTGACGCAACCTGAAAATATGAATGTATATCTTTCTGTGCAGGGTCTGATATATATAAAATTAAAAGCTGGTTATGATTAATTTGCTGTGGTCTTTTGGGAGGGTGAATTGATAAAGCTAGAGGAAGATGATGATGAGAAGAAAGATCTTGGTCGCAAGAGTTATTGTCAAGTGTTTTGGAACGGGATTGGCGATTATTTAATACTGAATTAAATTTCTTGTTTTTGTAATTTTCTTGGAGACTCCCCATATTTCTACGTTCCCGTTTTAAATTCTTATGGGAAGTTTCCTATATGCTTTCTGGCTTTGAATGCTTCTTTGGAAGTTATATGATGCAATGACTTGTATTATTCCTAGCACGCTTGGAGTCAAAGCACGTTATTCCTACCCCGTTTCCCTTTTGCTACTTCAGAACTGACACATAAAGAGATTCTCTGCCTCTGGTCTTTCTTGGTCATCTTAACCGAAATTTGCTAACAACCAATATCATGTTAGGATTAGTACTAATATTTACGTCAATTTATAAAGAGAAATGACCTTTGATAAATTACTATTTTTAACTTTCCCTTGTTCCGGAGAAGACCCTTTAAAATTTGTTGAATTTAGAAGTGATGGTAATAATTTTGATGTTTTTGGAACTCCGTATATACTGTTGGATTCATACTCAGAAGAAAAAAACACCGAAGGGGATAAAATTCTTCTATTTATTGCAAAAAATCATATGCCTGTTACAAAAGTGTATCAGCATCAGCCATTAGGGGAACCGGCTTTAGAGATCTTTTCAGAACTGACAAACAAAAGGTGATCACCATCTCTAATCACATCTAGATCATCAATTTCAGCTTCATCTCTGCTCAGTATCCTAGCAGGGGTGATACCAAATTTATTAGCTCCAATCTCAAGTAGCTCCTTAAAGCTCCCTGGTAGAAGCACAATTTTTCCTGCAATTTCGACCTTTTCAGGGCAACTGATTGTTACCCTAGGTTGGAAATTTCCAGTGTTCTTCCCAATTCTTGCAAGCCTTCCAACAGACCTCTCAGGAGTTGCAGTGACAGGAGTTGGAGCCTTAGGCTCCACGATAGTCTGAAAAATAGCCTTGATTTCCTCATGTCCCTGTTGATCTGCCAGAGCTCTTGGTTTCCAGCCATGCTTGTCTGGTTTGTCAACGTCAGCCCCTTGATCCAAAAGGAACTTCACAATCTCTACACTGCCTTCACAGACTGCAATATGTAATGCTGTGGTCCCATCATAATTCCTAGAAAGTGCTACATCTCCTCCATGTCTCACTATATCTTTGAGCAAGCTCAGATTATTCTGTTCAGCGGCAATGCATGCAAATTGACCCACATCTCCACATTCTAAGTTTGCGCCATTTTCTACCAACAGCTTGCTCACAGACTCGTGTCTGCCCACTACAGCCTCCCATAGAGGGACACTGCCATCATAATCTGCATATGCATTAAGCTATCTTGCAAGTTGAGGACTACTTCTTATGTCTGTTTATACTCCAGACAGGGTTCATATTGGTTTGTCTTGTTACATACTATAACATTATTATTAGTTCAAAATTATTATTCAAACTTCATTTGGATCGTTCCTTTTAAAATTTAGATAACCTTGAACAGTAAAAAGCATGGGATTAGGGAAGTAAAAGAAGAAAAGCAGAGGGCCAAGACAAGTTACCTCTAATGTTTGGATATGCGCCATGTTCCAAAAGAAGAATGACATGGTCCAAACTTCCTTTGGATGCTGCTATATGCTGAAAATTCAGGTAGAGATCAACAAGATTAGTGAATCTAACCAAATGAAGGAAACAGGAAAGAATGATTCACTTTGTCATACCAAAGCAGTCCTTCCTTTGTTGTCAGATTCATTTGGATCCAAGCCCCGATTCAACAACTGATGCAACAGCCAGTCATCTCCTCTTAGTGCGGCAAAGGAAAGACTAAGTGGTAGGTTCACCCGACCACTAGCTAGCAAGTTCTCTGTAGTCACTAGAATTCCGTCCATAAATGGGTCCTTAAGTTCTTTCAAATGCTGCCACAAGATCCCCCCCCCCCCAACCCATAGTAAGCCCAGTATCTCAATGATAAAGGAAGACCTGAAGGGTGTTATAAAGTTAGGCAGACCTGAAGGAGATTATTCATGATTAAGTTCCCATCTCCCACGTTGGCTTGAATAGCATTTAAAAATACGGTGCGGTTAAGCCTCAGTAGCTGGCTCAATCGCTTGGTTCGAACAGTGAAGGGTTGTAGCCTATAGCAAAGCACTCCAATCTCGCCAAAAGCATCACCATCTTTTGCCTCGCCTACGAGCTGCATCAGTTATCATCATTGATATTCATCCAAAATAACGCAGGTTCAAGCAAATAAAGTTCGATATTTCAGGTCTGTTCAAGTAATTAGACTTGCCTCTTCGGCTCCATTTTTCATAACTAGCAGGTCCTGTTCATGCAAGCGTTAGAAACCACATTTTGTAAGATAGATATCAAAGAAGGAATTCTCAGACGTAAGTTAAATAACTACCACAGCACCGGTGACTATAATATAAAGATCAGTTGGTTCTTCGTTCTGCAAGATAACGTCTTCTTTTGGGGGGAAATACTCTGCTTTCATCTCTGTTACCTATGCAAGTTACATAAAACGTACCCATTTAATGCAAAGCGAAGAAAAAATTTTCTCAGAAGAGAGAGAATTCGAAATTTTCCTGACTGAGATAGAATATTGCGATTACCAGTTGAAAAAGCAAGTTTCTTGAAACCCCAGAAAACAAGTAGACATCATCCACCACAGAGTAAAAAAGATTGCGTGAGATGCTTGATCTGATGGCCTTGGGAAGAGTATCGAGGCTCTCGTGATGCTGCAACCCCTCTGAGTCTGTTCTGAACCTCAAGCACATGTGTTCAAGCATCTGATCTTTCAGACGAGCAGGCAAATGGTTCCTTTCCGCAAAATTTGAGGCAGCTTGTATGGTATCCCTCTGAAAATTGTATACCAAACTTTAAAAACTTCACGAACTTCCTAATGAATTCCTAAGAACGGACTTAGAAATGCACAAGTTTCTCTCAGATAAATCAATTTACTACAGCAACATTCCCAATAAAATAATTTGCTTACAAATCTACTGGTTCGACTTGTGCCATTGACAACCAAGTTGGTCATATTACCAATCAAATATGACGTTAAACCCAGATTGAAGAACATGTAAAAGATGTCAAAGACCATCTCTGACGCATTAACTGGATGCAAATCGCCATAGCCAACAGTTGCTAAAGTAGTGATAGACCAGTACATGGAATACACATATTTTGTATACAAGCTCTCTTGATGGAAGTCTTCCAATGATAGCCCGATCCAAGTCTGCTTAGGATCAGGATAATGTGCAGCAATATAATAGAAGAAGCATCCAGCTAAGTGAACAGCAAAAATGGTAACCTGCACGTACACATTAATAACTCAATTTACTAACTGATAGAGAACTTGCACTTGATATTAATATAACCACAGCTCCAAGCTCAGAAACGTACACAGATAAGCTTAGCACACCGAACCAGGAAATAGTTATAGTTTATGTCCTTCTCCAGTCTGCTCGGAACCACAATAATTGGAAGTTACAACTGGGAAGTAATAAAAAATGGTCGAACCCAATCAAAAAGAATTTAGATCAGAACTAGTTTTATTTTTGGAAGAAAATTAGCATATTCTTATAACCGGTTATTAGTTGTTTTGAATATATGCTTTCACACTAATCCATATATATGTTGTGTGCGTAATGAATGAGGCTTGACATTATGGCGAACAGATTGAGTACATACCTAGCAAACAAGGCACTAACTCTTCGAATGCGCCAGAGGCGAAGCATGTTGAAAGGTCCATAGGACTCAAATGGCGAGATGGGAACCTTGCGAGCGAGCTCCGAAGGGATAATGGAGATGACATCGAGGACGAACCAAGTCTTGAGATATCTCACGGCAATGGTTCTTCGGTCTTCAACCAAGAGGTAGGTGACTTTGTCAATGTAAGCGACGAAGAACGTGAGAACTATATCCACAGCGAAGAGCCCATTCGCAACATTGTCCGTGATCGAGAGAAACCCTACTGGCTTTTCAAGAAATCCGAACTCAAATGGCGATACCCATGCAGTGTACCCCACCAGAATAATCAGAAAGTTCTCCCACAACCTATATTTATTTATGCCCGCGTTCATATAAAATAAAAATAACAGATAATATATATATATATATATATATATGATTCTTTTTCTAAAAAATAAAAAAAGCTATTACATGATAAAATTATATTTATATATATATAATATGTCTACATGTTTTTAAGATTGAAAATATTTAATCACGATAGCATTGTGTAGGTGTTAAATAAAAAGTGTACCGCTGTTTTAGGAGTGATTTTTTTTAATTGTTTTAGTGATGATTTGATATCGTGTTAGTACAATAATTATTTGAGGTCATAGGTCTTTTTATTGTCATTATAGAGTGATTATCAGAACTTTTTTATTTTTGGTTGGTAGCGAAAATGTTGCCAGTAATTCTGTAAGATATCAGCGCTAGTTCACCGATATCCACAAATATATGCCCAGCCACAGGCAAAGATTATCAAGAAAATACATCTCTATATATCTCTAATTTTTTAACATGCAGGTCGAAGAATTCACTCATATCTAAATGCCGATTAGGAAAAAAAGAAAGAAAGAAAGAAATTAAAATCCATGAGAAATCGTAGTAACAGAAGAATGCATGGTGATGAGGATCAGGCAGTTCCGATTATAACAGAGAAAAAGATATCAGGATGGAACTGATTGATTCTTGTTGAGAAAAGTACGTGAAGGCATGCATGAAACCCAGAAGGAAGAGGAAGAATTTGACAGAGAGAAATTAGAACCTGTAACGACGGTCATAAGGCGAGATAATGAAGGTCTTGAGGCTCCTTCTGGGTGCATGGGGGGCTCCGAGTGAAGGCAATATACCAGTAGAGAGGCTTAAATAGTTGGCTTCTCTTGGCAGTTCTATCTCCGCCTGGTTCTTCATCGAACTTGAAAGCTAATCGCTTCTTCTGGATTCTCTCTTAGCTTCCGGATCTTTTTCTCCTCCCACAATTCAACACCAACAAGATTTGCCAGACGAGAGAACCCACTATATATGTGTTTTCCCCTCTGCAGTAGCCCCCTTTACTATATATATCTTCAGCAATTTTTATTGTGTGCTTCTAGCTAGTCTCGTTGCTTCTATCTATATATAAGCTACCACCTATAAATATATCACACATTCATCACTAAGATCATTTCCAATTCCTGCCAATAATTTTCTTGTGTGTTAAAGTACGATATATCTTCCTTTTTTATTTCTTGCTTTTGGTTTCGAGAGTCACTTTCATTATCGTCTTTGATTGTTTGCTATATGTAGAATCCACCCTTTTTCTGTCTTGCGCATTTTTAACTTCTTTAAAAATAGAAGAGGTTATCCTATATATTCCTCTTGTTTAAAGATTGCCTCCGCTGCTGCTCCTTTCAATTCATTGGTTTGTCACAAAGTAAAATTAATTTTTTAGTTTCCTAATTGTCAAGTTAATTAATTAATTGTCTAACAATAGAATTATATACATATATAAATCCACGTCGACTCGTCTTTATTTATTATCACCATGCAACGTATAAAATCATATCATTTTAAAAATGTGGTCTCTTTAAGGTAAATCAACGTATCAGGAAAATAAACTGTAACATTTTATGTGTTATTTATATATATATATATATTTAAAAAAAAAAACCTCTACCCTTCTTTTGGAAGAGTGCTTTGTTTTTCATATTATAAAAAAGAAGAATTACGTGTTTAAATTGTTTTCTTAAACAGGAAGCAAAAGTAATTTACGAGCATCTTAAAATTTTGCCAAGATTACTTAAATATTATTATACAATTTAAGTAAAAAATAATAAATATATGTGAAGAAAAGCTCTCAAGAAATTAATACTGATGTTGATATCTGAAAAAAGAAAAATGAAGGTAAGGGTTCTCATAATACAAGGTATTGCATGCCTAATACAATTTTTCAGTACAGTATATGATTGGTGTAATATTTATACGATAAGTAGTGCAATATACATAATATTAAATTAGTTCAGTAATATTAATATTATACAACACTTAAGAAAATTCAGAAACCATGCATGGGATGAAGACACGTAGCATGCTATGCTTTAAATTGCCATGCGTACGTGATACTTAATAATAGAATAAAAATAAATTTTAAGAGAACCATTATTTACAAGAATATATAATAGTATTTCTCTAAATTGATCAAGTTATGTAGTTCTTAAGAAGTATTCAATCATTTGAAGGAAAGATGATTTAAAAACAACTCGGCCAATTTAATCACAACAACTTTCGAATCTAATCAAGCAACCTGAAGACTCCGTCGTGTGATCTTACATTAGTAAATTTATTTTAAATATATTTATTTATAACATTTAAAAGTTTTAATTACAATTTTTATCCATTCAAAGAGAAAAAAAATGGGTCCAACTAGGCCTCTCTTAATGGTCATCCCTTTGTTTTTTTTTTTTTGGTAAGCCAGGTTTCACTCTTGGGGTCGTCAAATGGCCTAATGGTAATGAAAGGATAATAGAAAAAATAAAAATAATTATAAACTGAAGAGACGCATGGCTTAATATTCACGTGTCAATAGGAAATTATAGAAGAACAACTCAAGAGTAATACAGATGGATATTTTATATATAGAATATAGATATATAAAAGAAATTTAACGTGATCCTTATTGTTCAAATCAATTTTTAAATAAGTTCTCCTGGCCTAAAGATTTTCAAAACCCTTCTAATATAATTAAGGGAAAATATAGAATTTGATCGTTGTACTTTATTCACATTTTGTTTTTTATTTCTATATTTTTTTTAATATTTTAAGTTTCTGTACTTTTTGCTTTTCACTATTTTTTATTCCTTCAAGATCTTTATACTTTGTTTATAGAGAGATTAAGAATAATAAAAAATAAAAACATAGAGATCTAAAATATTAAAAAAATATAAGAATTAAAAAAAACATAAGCAAAATACGAGCATCAAAATTCAAAAGTTATATTTTTTTTAGAATTAATAAAAACTAGCGATAAATATATAAACAATTAGGGAGAATTACATGGCGTGAGCGAGGAGACCTCTTGGAAAGTGGGAGGTCGTTTCAGCTGAGAAACAACTATTGCAAAATGACGATATTCCCCAACTTGCTTCTCCATGTCATCTATTTTCGTCATTTCCTGTCCTTCTCATGCTTTAAGTTCGGGAAAATTAGTAAGAAGGACCATGAGACAGCTTCCTTTTCCTCAAATAGATTTACTTCTGGGTCCTTGTTAGCAATTTCCCCTTTAACTTTTCAAATTTGCCATCTCCCTCACCTCCCAACAAAAAGACAAGCCCCTCCTTCAGACGCTGCTTCCCCATTGCCACGACTATCACGTGCTTGTCTCATGTGCCTTTTCGGCCCATTCAGGCCCATTCCTATTACACATGCTCATGTGCCTGTCCTATCAGATTTCCTGCCCCGGCGGTCCATACTATTCCCACGCAACCTCCTCTCATCTCCCTATTCTGAATTAACTTATTAAACAACATTTTTATCTTTGAATTATTTTCAGGGTCACGTTTAGTATCATAAATTTTTAAGTGTTGTAATCTCGCCTTTCAACATTTAAAAATATTGTAATGTTATACTTACTGTTAAAAACAAGTCAATTTTGATTGTTAACGCGTTTTGTTCCATCCAACCTCAGTTTGGTTCAATTAAAGTTTTAAACCAAACATGCCCATAATCTCCTGATTATGATTGACAAACTAAAGCTAACAGAAATCGAACCCCCTTATCCCACCCAAAAAAAGAGGGGGAAAACTAGAGTTAAGAGTTAGTGATATTCATGTAACTGAGAGTCGGAAACTGGTCGATTATTAATAATAGACGGAGTCAGGGACACGACATTTAAGTCTGAGACGCGGTAGCGGAAGGTTATTTTCGTCAACAGTGCCGTGCCCCCCTGCCTGTAACGGACAGGAGAAATGGATCAACGGAATAGCCGGTGAAAAAGTCATTAAAAAAGCGTGTCAAGCCCCACCATCCCCTCTCTCTTTCAACGCCACGTGTCCATTCTTATCCTTTTCCTCCACCAACATGCTATAAATATATGCTTCCGATGATGGGGTTAATACTGTAGGCAGAAACCTACTTTTACTGATATTATCTGAAAAATTAGAAAGTTCTGGTCTCCACTCCCCTTCTCTCTCTCTCTCTCTCTCAAAATGGCCTCTACTCTCACCCCCGTCTGCCCTGTCGTTATCCAAGCTTCTGCCAGCTCCGGCCACCGTAGGCCCGACCAAGATCGTCGGAAAGGTTCGTCCTCCAGCTGGTGGACTCCGATCTTCGGCTGGTCTTCCGAGCCAGACTACATTGATTCCAACAACAACAAAACAGCGGATCGGCAGGAGAGATCCGAGTCCGCTGTCGATTCGAAATCGAAACCTGGGAAACCACGATTCGCTGGTTGCTTCACGGAGGACAAGGCGAGGCAGCTCCGGTTGATGACCATGGAGACCTTTCCCGACACCATGTATCGCTCGGCGATCGCTTCTCGACTCGCCTCCGACTTCAAGACTCCCTCCGATCCGTAAACTCTCTGGCTTCGGCATTCTAACGTTGCATATCTTACTAGCTGAATTTTCCTTCCTTTTTTTTGTTTTGCGTGTCAAATTTTAGTCTCTGATGGCACTGTTGATGATGAATGATGAAGAATGTGTAATACTTTGGATGATTATGTAATATGTATATAAAATCCAGTTAGTAAGTGACCAGATCTCGTTCCTGTTGTTTCAAAATTCCAACGGAATGACGATGGATTTGATTGCAGAACCATTAATGATTAATTAATTAATTAATATTTTACGGATTACGTGGATCTGACGCTGGAAACCAACTAGGCTAACACCAATTGGATCAGGGATTAGAATTGAAATTTTAAAAAGATGAAGAATCAATTCCTTTTTAGAAGCGTGGGGTGTGAAGAGTAAATTCCATAGGCTGTTACGGAGCCCCATTCCTAGCTTGAAAGATTATCCTGTACTGAGAACGCACGCACACCGATGTCATGGTGTAGATCCATGTACTGAATCAATGAGCTATTGTGTTGTCTGTGGGGAAATCTTGGGTTGGATCCTGGAATTTAAGACCCAAGCCCACAGATATCGGCATCTGGCCCAAGAATATGCGGATGATGTGGATGTCGCATAGCATCATCATCATGCGTATAACCAGGTAAAGGAAAAAAAATCTAGAAATTGGCGCGTGTGGGCAAATATAGCTTATGGACATAGACGTCGTTTTTAGTATCAACGTCCATGTATACCATTACCGAGGATATTTGCAGGAACTAAACCCTGTTCAATTTTCACTTCATTTGTTCTATTTATATTCAAAGTTTCAGACTTTCGATGAAATTCAAGTTCGGGAGAACGTAAGTTCTGAAAAGTAAACATACGACAAACTTTTTCAAGAGTTTATGATTTCGTTTATGTCGTCTATTGTTGGCTTTGGCTTTATTTATTTATTTGTTATATGAAAAATGTTTGAACATTTCCCTTCTATATGCGCCCTATGCACCTTTTTACTCTTTTCTTTGTATCCAGAGAGCAGATCCGTACAGATAAAGGTAATATTGGGATTAAGGTAAGGATTAACTAATGATTAGCTGTAACTAAGCTAACTTCTTGTGGATGTACATTATTGATATTTATCTATCATTAAAAAAAAAAAGTTACAAAGTTGGGGTACGGCAACTTAATTACTTTCAACTGTTTAGATCAGCAAAGGCAGAAAATGCCTCAAACATGAATATCAACATTTGATTGAAACGCAGAGAATAACAGCAACGGCAGAAAATAAATGCAGATAATATTAAAAAAAAAGTGCCAGCTGTGAATTGACAAATACTAGGGGCAAGAAGCAAAACGGGACGATTCAAAATATGAAAAGTTGCCAATGCTCTTGTAGTCTAGCGGTATGGAAAATTTCATATCATCAAAATGTGTGTGCGCGCGCGTGTGTGAAAAGTTGAAACAAGGCAAAAGGACAAGCGAGTGGAGAGACTGAACGCGCACAAAATGAAAGCTAAGCATCACGTAGTCAAAATTCTCTCTCAAGGGCAGCCTTCTCTAGCCGTCCCAAGAGTTTGAAAATTTTGCCAATATTCCCTCCTCAATAGAATAACCATTCCCTCTCAAAATAATATCTGCAACACGTGCTTTTTTTTATTCTTCTTTTTACAAGAAATTGATAATGAAATTTTAAATAAATAAATAAATACAGTAAAGGGACAGTCAGCCATGGCATCTAATATTCTAGAGTAAGAAAAAAAATAAAAATATCTATAACATTATATAGATAAATATAAAAGTAATTAAACCATTAACTTTGACCTAATGTCATTAATTTTAATCATTTAATGTTGACTGTGCATGTCACATATTAGTCTTTGTTGATGTGTATTAATAAAGGAGCAAAAATACTCATGAAGTTGTCGATCAGGAGCAAAAATACCTGCGAAGTCGTAGGTTAGGGATAAAAATACCTATATCGTTATTAGAGTTGGTGCAAGCCAATCCATCAAATCTCTTAAATGTTGATTGTTTAGCTGACACTTGAGCAAAAGTTGATCATTTTTTCGCTAATGTAGATAAAAGATATTCCTAGATGAAATTCTTTAAAGGTTAATCAATTATTATATGAATATCATGTGAGAAAATGTCATTTTGACTAAATATTAAATTAAATCGCTTGTTTCTCTATAGCAGTAGCAAAAATTATTTAAAAATTTTGAACATATCACAAATACAATTGTTTAATGTTATAACAATATTCTCAAGCTAGATGTGCTCAGTCTCGATCTTTAATTTTATACAAACTATCTCATTATGTTAAATCTTAGATTTTTCAGACAAGAAAAATGAGTTGAAAAGGAGAAAAGAAAGGGGCAAGATACATGGTGATGGAAAAAACCATGTGGGATTGAGTTTGACTGATTGGTCACTATTACATCTACTAAAGTAACATTATAGATACCTATACGATAATCGATCAACACCCATAAAAATTTATCTAAAAATATTTTTTTATCTACATTAGTAAAAAAATAGTCAACTTCTGCTTATATGTCAGCTAAACAATCAACATTTAAGGAATTATATTAATTGGTCACTTTTACACCAACTCTAATAACATTTTGGTTATTTTTGCTCTTAGCCAACGACTTCGTGAGTATTTTTACCTCTTTATTAGTTCACGTCGGTAAAGACTGACATGTGACATGCACAATTAGCATTTAACGATCAAAGTTAATGGTGTTAGGTTAAAATTAATAGTCTGATTATTTTTACACCTATCCATATAATGTTATAGATATTTTTTTATTTTTCTCACTTTAGGATATTGGGTTCCTATGACTGATCACTTTATGGGTATTTTTGCTCCTTTACCCATAAATAATGACAATTAAATCATCAATAATTTTTTTTAAGATGAGTTGCAAGCGTATCGATTCAAATAATTATAAAAATAATTTTAATTTCAAATTAAAAATTACAATTACAATAAGGACCTAATTGTTACTATTATTTTTTGGGTATTTAACTATCATTCTCTCTTTTTTATATGATTTTTTAGATATACTAACTAGTTTCTGAAATTCACCTTATTCTCTAATTACTTTGAATTAATTTAAATTAAAAACAATAAAAGTAAAAATCTCCCATAGTGTATCCTATTTTTATTAATTAAGCTATAACTTTTAATTTTTCATTTTTGTAAGAATGGAAGTATGTTTTGCTGACTACAAAAATTAATTTCCACTAAAAACCCGTGCGACCTTTCAGTTCAAATGTTTGGAAGGCTTGAAAATGGATGAACAATTTGTAGAAATGGCTCACAAACTGAATTGCTTAGTTTGAAGTTGGCAACTAGGGCTAGTCCTTAAAGTGTCAAGGCCTGAAAGGATTGGGCTTGAAATTATTTTAGGACTTCTAATTTCAAAGCTCGACCTTGGCCCTTAGGGTTGTAGAGCCGGCCATGTGGGCCTCGAACTTGATAATTTTTTTTGTTTTTTAATTTAAAAGCCAAATAAATACACTTATAATTTTTAAAAAAGTTATTATAGATGAAATTAAATCTAAAAAATAAATTTACAACAAATCTATAAAGTTTAGACATTCATTATCAATATCATAGCAACATTATCAAAATAGTAGGACCAATTACGAGTATAAATAATAGGCTTAATATTATTTGGAAAAAGAGACCTTTGAATATTTTGTCAAAACATGTAAACCTATATTAAAAACAGGTTCACGAGCCATAGTAGTGATTAAAGTATTAAAAATATTAGCAGTCATCCTTGAAAGAATTGGAAATCAATATCGATTGTTCTTTTACTAGTTCAATATTTAATTCTTTTAAATTATGAGACTTAGTATTGGTTTATCCAAATAATTTTCTAGTTCAAACCTGTCCATAAAAAATCATATATACTTATATAATTATCTTGATAATCTTACATTATAATTTGTAAAGGGTTAAAGAAATATCACTTAAAGACTAATAAAATAAAATAATATTACAAAATAACAAATTTAGTGGATGAATTATTTAAAATACATATAAAATGTATCATAAAAAATGATCATTGTTGTTGATAAGAGACCTGAAGTATGATAAACACTTAATATTTTTTAATTTTTACTTGATTTTTTTTTTAAACAATCAAACTTAAAAGAGCAAGCTTTTGATCCTAAAAAGCCAACCCTTTTATTTCTGGGCCTATTTGGGTTAGCCCTTTTAAACTCAAAATTTATTTATATTTTCTAATTCAGTGACTTGTCCCTAGTTATTTTAGGGTTTAAACAGGTTGACTTAATGGGCTCAGCCTGTTTTGTTGACTCTAACTTAGCTTGGCATGCACGAGCATGACCAATTCATCATTCTTGGATAGCCTCAAAAACACCAATCAATTTCAACGTAAAATATAAAATTTATACATAAAGTTACTCTTATAAATGCTTCATTAGTTTTAAATTATAAGATATTTTTAAATAAAATTATACATACTAATAAAATTCATTAAAAATTTTATAATTTTATTTTTTAAAACAAGAATGTAAACTTTCAAAAATTATCTTCGTTTGATAATCTATTTACAAAAGAATATTAAAGAGAGATAATATAATGAAAAGGGTAATATTTAAAAAATATTATTAATAAAATCTTATTTTTGTTAAAGTGTTTTATATTTTAAGATAAATTTTTTTTCAAATGTATCTTATAATTTGAGATGGAAAGTAGAACATACAATTCACACTATAAACTATAGTTAAATCAAAATTTCATTGGCCTTTGAGCATTTTGAAATTCTATAATAGCTTCATTACTACAGAGTTACCTTCATTTTTTAATATATATATATATATATATATGTAAATCAAGTCACATAATTTAAGAAAATTGATTTAGTGCAATAATTATGTCTAAGTATAAAATAACTAGACTAAAATACTATTGTGCTCAATCAAATAAATTTGCATTAATGTTTTATCTCGTGAATGAAGACTATGGTTCTCTGAAGGACAGTTACGAAAAATCATGATAAAAGCTTACCGCAATGTATAATTTTACTCATAAAAGAACAAAATTCCACGTGACAGTTTCTTCTATATTTAAAAATGAACGGAGTATATTATACCACATCAAAAATGATTCCTTTTTTGGCCACAATTGAACTAACTATGGGATGAAATCTAATATCTCC